GTCTGGAACTCTCATCCCCTGAGTAATTCTTTAGTAGACCAGACATGCAGATATAGTGAATGTAGACCTGATGTCTTAACTTAAAAGAAATAAACTTCATCTAATTGTTTCTTTTCCAGATTGCCAGGTTGTTTTTGGTGTCAGACATTCTTCATAACTGTAGTGCCAAGGTTCCCAATGCCTCTTTTTATAGAAAATAGTAAGTATATCTGCACTGCTGTGCATTGTGTGTATTTATCTTGGAAGAGGATTAAGTGGAAATCTGCAGTGAATGAAATAGATATCCTCTGATACCTGCCATGAGCAGAAGAGTTTTTGTGTATTATTAATGTCTGACAAGACTTTTACATTACTTTGTTCAAATCTCTACCAGAGATAACATTTACAATAACAATGTACACTTAAATGTTTTTAAAAAAATGTTATTGTACACTATTCTTTTCTTTCAGTTTTGAATCCAAACTTCCAGAAATCTTTAGAGACGTTCACGACTCCTATGATAATATAGATGGCAGGCTGAAAGCTGAACAGTTCAAGGTGAGCCACATCCCAGTTTCTGTTCATAGAAAAGTATTTTATGATGGACATTTTGGTCAGAATTCCACAAAAGCATCTCACAGATAGAGCAAGGCTCTTTCAGAACCCAAGTTTGTATGTGAGAAGGTTAAAATGGAGTAATAACAGAAAGTCTCATATTTTGAAGTGCACAACTTTAGACGCTGGTTTCATGGACTGTATTCCATGTTGGAATTTCATAGGAAAAATTATTTGAATCTGATTTCACTTTCCAGCAAAAAGTGATGGCATGTTTCCGTGCATGGGAGGACTGGGCCGTATATCCGAATGACTTCCTGATCAAACTACAGAATATATTCCTAGGTTTGGTTCCACTGGACAAGGATGACATGGTGAGTATCCTAATGACTTCCTGATCAAACTACAGAATATATTCCTAGGTCTGGTTCCTCTGGACAAGGATGACATGGTGAGTATCCTAATGACTTCCTGATCAAACTACAGAATATGTTCCTAGATCTGTTTCCTCTGAACAAGGATGACTCGGTGAGTATCCTAAAAACTTCCTAATCAAAATACAGCACATATTCCTAGGTCTGATTCTTCCAGAAGAGGATGACTTTTAAAGCAGCTGATAACAAAATTGAAGCATATGGACTGCAGTGTGTGGTTATAGTGAAAAGAGATGGTGTATTATATAAAGGCAGCTTGAACTTCTACTCGCCATGTTTCAGTTTTTCACAATAAAGAAAATAAATGATAATTATTACTGTATCATATTTCACAGGCGGAGTCAAAGGAGGAGGAATTAGATGGTGCACCTCTTCCAGACTTGGATGGGGCTCCTATTGACCTAGATGGCGCCCCTCTCCCAGAGGCACGAGGAGACTATGAAGGTGTTCCATACAGTGACGACCTGGATGGAATGCCTTGTGAGTGGGGCACCACTTGATATTATACAGCACTTTTATTGATAAGATTATGCTGGGTATTTTCAAATTATTTTAGTCTTTCAGATGGTCTTTCTGTGATATTTGTTAATATTTCAGAAAGATTAAAATATCCCCACAACATCTTGGAAAGAAAATTAAAACCTGATTCAAATGCAGTGTTTCAAGTGTTCAGCAATATTCAGCCATTTCCTTTCTCTTAATTATATTTATACATTTTGTTTTTTGTTAAAATTTATGTTCCATTTAAATGGTATTTAAGAAATCATAGTTCCCTGATATCAGAAGGTTTTGTTGGTATTTCAGTGGATAAGTCTGGAGAAGACATTGATGGCAGGCCGTTGGACTTTGAGCAGGCTCCCTCACCTCCTAAGTTTGTCAAGTCAAAGTGGGAAGAAGTGGACGAGGAAGAAGTCAGAGCACAAGGTATGTAAGCGTGTATGTTGATAATTCAATATCATTTCTCTGTTCACAGCTGTGACTACCTCCAAATGGGACATGTTGATAATTCAATATCATTTCTCTATTCACAGCTGTGACTACCTCCAAATGGGACATGTTGATAATTCGATATCATTTCTCTGTTCATAGCTGTGACGACCTCCAAATGGGACATGTTTGATCCTGTAGATGAAGAAGACCAGGAGAAGCAGGGAGAAGAGGAAGACATAGATGGAAAGTGAGTGACATCTTTCAATGGTAGGAATTGCTGTAGGATTGTACAGAAAAGAAAGGTTCTGCCTCTCAAAGTAATGTTTTTAAGTGTACGGATTTCATTTGAAGACACAAAGGGATATATTCCCTCCTTTATTAGGCATAACTTGTCTGAATCCCTCGATTTCAATTTCTGCATTCCAGGCCATTAGAAGAAGATGACAAGTCCAATGATGATAGTGATGATGACATGTCAACAGGGGGAGACACTGTACAAGATGCTCCCAAATTGGAAATGACAGAGGAGAGAAGAGCAAAGCTCAGAGAAATTGAGGTATGATGATTTGGAAATCAGAAGTAAAGATTTTAGATATTTGATAAAATTTCATAACTAGCTAGACACTGATAATGGATGGAATTTTTGTCAGCATTTATGAGTTTAAATGCTACAAGGTACTGGGCATATTTGCTAGTACTCTTAGAGTCAAGGTTTATTGATTCTGTAAGTTAATTATCAGAAAGTTGGATGATCACTTTGGTATATTGTGTGTTCAGTTAAAGGTTATGAAGTACCAGGATGAGCTGGAGTCGGGAAGAAGAAGCAGGAAACCCAACATGGACATACAATCACAGATACAGCACTATAGGAACAAATTATTAACTAAGGTGAGAATCCTTTTTTACAACCATACATGCAATGTAAACTCACTGAGGGAAAATATTAACATTTACGTTTCTATTCCTAAAGATAAACAAAAAATTACTTTATTTTAGATAAATAAATGAATTTTTAGCCTTGTGGCTGTGATCTTCAAGGTAGAAATATTTCATGTTTCAAAATAAATAAATTTTTTTAGATCAGTCTGAAATGACCAAAACATCCATGTTGGCCCTTGCATTGCACTGTGCAGTCTGTCAAATCCTTGTGGTATTCCACTCATTCCCACTGATAATGTTAAACATGTCTTAATATACACACCCAAGTTCTAGGTATTTGTCTAACCTGATGCTGTATGTTATATTATGTCATGAGTAATCATATCAATACTATTGGTTGTTTTGTAGGAGAGAGAAAAGGAGGAAGACAGACTACGAGATATGGAGCGAGAAAAACGGAGAGAGGAGGAACGCCTTAGAGTGAAAGAATGGGAAAGAGCGAGAGAAAGAGAGAAGGAACGAATGAAGGAAAAAGAAAAGAGGTCTCGTTCATCTTCCAGTGAAAGTGAAGGCTCATATTCCAGGGTAAGCACTTCTTTTTATGAACAGCCTTACAGGGTTGACAACATCTCATGAATGACAAAAAGAGTTATATTTCAATAATGTTAACAATACTGCTCAGTGTCTACATGTTTACTAAACTGCCTACCGTCTACATGTTTACTATACTGCTGTGTCTACATGTTTACTATACTGCTCAGTATCAAAATGTCCTATATTCTATCTAACAGGACAAGAAGAGAGGCCGTAGTCGCAGTGTGTCTCCCCCAGCAGCTTACAGAGACCTGTCTAAGAGGTCATACTCAAGGTCACCTAATAGGAAAGTAAAGAGACCTGGCTCTCCACCTAAAAGACATAGGTAGGACTTGATATATAAAGATATATGATAAAGAATATAGGGTCAAGGTCATACTCAAGGTCAACTTATAGGAAAGTAAAGAGACCTGACTCTCCACCTAAAAGACAGGTATAACATCTAGACATATTCTTAAAGTTCTTATGTCAGAAATGCCCCATGTGAGAGATTTTTTATGCAATACCCTTTTTGTCAAAATGCATAAAGTTTTAGTCCTTTACCTTTGAAAATTGGAAAATAAAGATTTGCTTTTTTCCCGTAGGTCAAGGTCGCGATCTCCAAGTGGCAGCAGCAGTAGCAATAAGAAGAAAATGAGGTCAAGGTCAGGCTCAAGGTCACCTAGTCGTTCCAAACATAAACACAAGAAAAGCAAGAGATGAGATGTCACACAGGAACATTAGTGATTGAGTGTAATCTTAGGAGATAGATTTGATACTAGTTCCACATTGCCAGTTACTTGGCTGTCTGATATCTGTATATTTTGTATAAAATGCATCTGTTACTATGTGAATATATGTACACTGGGAAATGTACAGAGTGATGATGGTTAATACAGAGAGCAGGTGGATCTTAGACCTCTGAAGCTGTGGAAAAAGCCCTGTGGAGAGCAGTTAGATGCTCTATATCTCCAATCTGCTACTGGAGGTGGTATAGTCCGGTTGCTTAGGGCAAAAAAATGGCTAAATNGAATTCAATAAATTGGCGGCCATTTTGGATTTTTTGGCCAAACGGTAAATTTTTTCCGTGGGCTACGGCTCTAATTTGATTTAGAATGTCAAAAGGTACCCACATGCAAAATTTGGTGCTTTTATCCGCCGTGTCACGATTTTTTCCTTAAGCCACCGGACTAGTAGTGCTGGGCACCGTTACATATAAAGACTGTGTCATTGCCTGGACTGATCTCAACTATCAATGGATGTAGTGCTTTGAAAGATAATTTAATGTGAAAGCATACTGTAGCATTGAGCTGATAATATACTCTGCTGTGTATGTTATGGTGAGTAAGCACTGTCTGAGTGTCTTACTGCAGAGAGTGTTTCAAAGTCTAAATGCTGGTCTGGAAGGTTCATCACTGCAGCTTATTACGATTTCAAAATGATGTTGCTTTTAATAATGGCAATATTTAATTAAAGAATAATGCTGTGAATTTCTAGTGTATTAATAGAATTGGTATGTCTATTACCTGTTGAAGTTCCTAGAAATTCATCCACCTAACGCGCGTGCGCGGCTAACTGGAATATGTCGCTTCTCTTGAAGTCCTTCACTTTCATATAGAATCAATAGAAATGTGATACAATGCATGGAATTCATACATTTAATGTACGCAAGATCCTAATGTTTGACATAGCTGACGCTGATCAATAGGCATTTATTTTTCAGTGTTATTTGTGACATTTTCATTGATAGTTCCTCCACCATCTCATAAGCTCTGCCTCTAAAATCTAGATGCTCAAAACAATTCACAGTTTATGGTCCCTGCAATGTATTCAAACCAAATGATTGTCATCAATTCCTTCAATATTACATTAATGCAAAGCTTTATGATACATGAAAATAAAGATCCTTTTACAGTATCTTATCGTGTTGTTTCTCTGATAAAATGGTTTCCTTGACTTAATGGTCAAATGAACGCTACTGTTTCCATCCACCATCTTCGGATCTTGATCACATAGATTTTGTACCTGAATGATATTTTTAGAAAACGGGGGTCATATAAAACATTTCATCAATGTTGTAACAGGATGTATATATATACGAGACCCCTGTGGTTTTATTGGGTACCTGAATGCTGCACCTAGAAAACGAGACGCTGTCACAAACCTTGTGAAGGGCTTAGGCACAGTTGGGTGGTGTCCGGGGTGGACGTGGACTGGTGTCCGGGGTGGACGTGGAGTGGTGTCCGGGTGGGCGTGGAGTGGTGTCCGGGGTGGACGTGGGGTGGTGGCCGGGGTGGACGTGGGGTGGTGTCCGGAGTGGACGTGGGGTGGTGTCCGGGGTGGACGTGGACTGGTGTCCGGGTGGACGTGGAGTGGTGTCCAGGGTGGACGTGGAGTGGTGTCCGGGGTGGATGCCGAGTGGTGCTTATTTTAATCGAAGCAGAACATTTGCTTTCGTGACTTCTTTTGCCACAGGTGATTATTTTTAAGTGATTGATGTTTTTGCAATGTGTTATCTGTTATTCAAATATTCAATTCCGTTGTATCCATGATAAGCCAGACGATATGATGACAGAGCACAGTCAAATGTTTTACACGAAACACGACGAAAATGCATTCTCTTAGAAAGCAATTTGCGACACCTATGCTATCAGACATTAAGTGTGCATCTTGTAATACCCCTTCAACGCAGTCTATTTTTAGTTATGTTAAAAAATGAAACGTGCAAATATTTAAATTAAAACCCAGCATTGAGAGACCGTATTTGTAGACCATTTACTTTACGGCACGCTGCCATGACGACAAACGTAAGCCCAGATAAGATAGCATTATAATTTAGCCAGCGTCCGCATGAATTTTAACTTCCTTGTTCATTGCGGAATGGAAAGAATTGTGGTTTGGTTGTGATTTACATCTTGTGGAGTAGCCGTGTTTCACGTGACTGAGACTTAAGCTGATATTCTCTTTGATTATGGACCCAACATACACACTTTTTGTCCTACATTTTTTTCTTGTAATTCAGATTTTGATTACACTGCTTTTGATTAAACTGATCAAGATTAGATTTAGTCCCCGTAAAACACGCGCCTGCCTTATCTGATATAGGTAATCAGTCACCAAGTCTCAAAACCTAGCACTGAAGGACCGTATTCGTAGACCATTTATTTTACTATACCCTGCCATGACGACAAACAAACTCAGATAAGGTAGCAGTATTAATATTCCAGCGTCTGCACGAATTAAACTTCCTTTTTTTAAAAGCGGCATGGACAGAGCTGTGATTTGCTGGTGTTTTGTCTTTTGCGGTGTCTCTGTGTTTCCCATGAGGGAAAGTTTGGCTGATGTTCTCTTTGATTCTGGACCCAGTGTTGGAGATTCTTCCCTGCGCCCGAACGATGACCTGTTTTCCGAAGAAATCCAGCTTCAAACTAAGTTTCCTTACTTCGACCGCCTTTTTTCGTCTCTCTTCGTAAGTTACGGGTGCATTTGCACAGTTAAAAGATTAATCTTAAGAAGGCTTCACGGTAAGATTCGTCAATATTTTTCCTAAAACCGTAAACGGCATAATAACTTATCTTTCTTAACTTGGTACAAATGTACGGTGTAAAGGTAACCTTTTCGTGCAGAAACGTTTCGATACTTTACTTACCTTAAGCTATTTTTTCTTTTCATTTCTAAGAAAGTAAGATCATTGATGTTTTTTTTAACTTATTTGTTTTAACCGCTTACATTTTTCCAATTTTTAAGGGGCGAGTATTGGCCTGTCTCTCACCGTACATTATTCAGACTTCAGTCAGCATGTAGACTACAGTGTGTCAGAATAACATCATAACATCAGTCTTCATGTAGCACAGGTTAAAAAAGAGTTCATTCTGCATATGTCCTCTTTCCGAGAGTATTGAAGTGTAAAATATCCCTCCATCTGTTTATTAATTTAAATTATCTATCTTTGCGCAAGTGCATTTCTTCTATTTGTAACAATCCATCACTACAGGTGAACACCAACGGGGCAGTTTCCTTCCTTCGAGGCGTCCGTCAATTTGTACCGGACCCATTCCCGTTAAATGGGACGCTCAGGATCGTTTCCCCATTTTGGGCGGATGTCGACATCAGGAGAGGCGGAAATGTCTTCTACCGGGAAGTGACGGCCACCACTGACGCTCCGTTATTAATCAGGGCCACAGCCATCATACATAACGCTTTTATCAAAAAAAGAATCCGGTTATTTGCGGCAACTTGGGCGTTTGTAGCCACGTGGGATAACGTCACATACTATCCAGGAAGTCATCCCAATACTGTGAGTAGAGTGACAAAGCCAAAAACAGTACATTTAGATGATATTTCATGGAAGCGTTTGTTTTTTTTATAGATATAAACAATCACATTTTGCCAGCGAGCACCGTACAGTAACTGCATGGACTTCAGTGTGCAAGCATACCGGGCATCATAAGAGTGTTTACTAACTAATGATTTTATGATATTATATTATTATCATTAATATTATTATTATGATTAAACACTTATAGTTACAAGTATAATCTTACTTATTTTTGTTGCTATTTACATCTCTTTCTTATCATTATCCAAAAACCAATTAAACATATTAAAACTACCGCATTTATTTTAATGAGTACATGTGGACTTTTTATCTCTCCCTTAACTTTTTACAATTACCGCATTTAAAGATTTATGTGTACACTTCATATCTGAAAAGATAATCTATGTCAAAGCCACTGGTAATACCTTTATCCAAGTATATTACTTAACGGAAGTTAACTGCTTTTCAGACCAACACCTTTCAAGTTGTACTGGTTACAAACGGGAGACACTCTTTTGCTATCTTTAACTACGGCAAGATGATGTGGTCATATAGAGGAAAAGGACAGGTAGAAGTTACATATTTTAACTCCAGATTTGTTGAAGCTTAAATATACATCTGTTAAAATTAAATTTGTAATTTTTCTCTTGGTTTTTAAAAACACACCATGCTTGCCTAAGTCGCTTAAGTCGCCTAAGTTAGGACTTGGAGTGGCGTAAACATAGTTCCTATTGAATGAATATCATGCGGAGAGAATGGTTTGGGACATTTTTTATGCATAGAGTTTAATTAATCGTTATGGACTGCTGATAAATTTTAGACTATCATACCGTGACTGTGGTATTTGGTTTAACTTTCCTGAATATTTTCTGAATCTGCGATTTTAATTATTTGGGGTTAAAACGAATACGTGTCACCTCAAACGTGTACACCCGCTTGCTACAGCTGAGCTTTCTCCTCTAAGGGTGCTTTCCCAGAGATTTAGATCGATCTAGGGATTAAGATTTAGATCGACCTAACTCCCTGGGGGTTCACGCTAAATTGCAGTCAGTCGAGCGGGCACCATAGTAAATTACCCCCTTACAGCTTTTAGTAGGCGGGACAGACGCTTAAGCCGGCCAAGCTGACAGTTAACTAGAGAGACTCCCCACAGGGATAGATCGATCTAAAAATCTATGGAAATGGGGTGTAAGGCTGTATTCCCAGAGCTTTTAGATCGATCTATGCCCGCGGAGAGTCTAACTAGATTACTGTCAGATAATCCGGCTTAAATGTCCGTTCCGCCTACTACAAGCTGTAAGGGGGTAATTAACTTTCGTGTCTGCTCGGCTGATGGCTATTTAGCGTGAACTCCCCAGGGAGTTAGGTCGATCTAAAGTAGATCGATCTAATCTCTGGAAATGGGGTCTATATCAACAAGGTTCGAATTCGTCATACTTCTACCATGCTGGGTATTAGTAGCATTTGAACACACAATAATCTCATTTCCCAGGCTGGGTTTAATGCTGGCGATGGCGTTCGTTCGTATACCATCGACGGGTCCCGTACTCCGGCCGTGGTCAACGTGTCCCTTACGTCCAATGTGGGACAGCCAGGGCGCTGGGTGTTCCGGGTAGACGAGGCAGAAGTGAAAGCCGGCGGCTGCAACACGAAAGGTACGGTAATGTCTCCGAGGATATCTACTTTGTGAAACATTTTCGTGGGTACAAATGGGAGTAAATGCCAGTTGCCTGCTCTGGCACAGGTACCATATCAAATATTCAGCTAGCTATTTATACACTGCAGTAAATGTGGAGTGGTGTCTTTTAATGGCATGAAAACAGTCAAAAAAGATCTTTAGTCGATGATTTGTCTGAAAGTTTACTGAAATTTTAGTCTAACAAAATGTGAATTAGATGCAATCCACCCGATTGAAATTGAAGGTGTATTTTATTGGAAGATAAAATAGCTCATGTTTGGACCAACAATTGTTTTTTCCTTAAGAATAAACAACTGCAAAGTCAATCCTTTTGGATGAGAGCACACGCAAAATTTTCCATATCTGATAAAGTAATTATCAATGATAAAGAACCTGTGACAAAGTCTGCATCTTCAATTCCAGGCAGTCTGGTCTTGTCCCCTGTAACGGGAAACATCCTCGGAGGCCATGAGGTCGTCGTATGGGGTCCATGTTTTACTAACGACGATGACGTAGTCTGTAGATTTGACGACACGGATGTCCCAGGCCGCGTGGAGAACAATCTGCGTGCCACGTGTGTGACTCCACCACTGTTCTCCCCACGCCGAACCCAGTTTAAGTTGTCTATGGACGGAGGAGAGAGTTTCACACACCACGGGCTCTACTACCCTGGTACGGTACCACTGACGGCTAGTGCCTACATCTGGTTTAACTTTACCCTGTTCTGGACCCACCATGGCCAGTATATCGCTGGACCCACCATGACCAGTACCCTATATCGCTGTAGCCCTCACTCCCCTTCTTCGGGCTGCATTTCAAATATTGAAAATGTTGCTCATATTGTTAGAGAATGGAACCATACGCCAGAAGAACAAGTTAGATAATTTGTTTGTCTGGCGTCTATTTTAATATTTTAATTTAAACCTGTTATTTAACTGTTATAAACCATGGCGACGAACAAGGTGCATTGTGTACATGCGTATTACTTACATACTCTGACTCATCACCAGAGGAGATTATACCGTTACTTTGGTGTTTATTTGCTCTTCAAAGCATAATCGTTCTTTATATTACAGCCAATATTTAGAATTTCTTTCTGTATTTTGTGTTAAGTTCCGTTGCATATCCGCGCATGCACGGAATGGCGAGGGAGTTTCCAGCACATGGCAGGATAATGGTAGCCAGCGTTTTTTTTTTACCACTTTGAGTTCATGTAATGAGTCAATTAACCAATCACTTTACTTCTCATTCTAGTGTACCGTCACGAACAGAGTGATGTTAGGAGCAGGTTCCCTACAAAATGGGGAAATGGCAGATCAGCTGTAATTGAATGGGAACCTGAAATGCTGCACGAGGACAAAGACACGGAAAGAATCCACGTGGATCTGTTAACCTTCAAGTATATATAAGCCATATTGCTCATCAATATGTCAATACGCTGTCCATTATCTCTTCTGTTTAATCTTTGTGTTAAGATACGATTCACACCTAAATTACAAGTACAGATGTAAAAATGACATAGATTGGCAAATCACTGTAGCATGTCTTCTTAAATGTTCGACAGGGAACTTTCTAATGGCACAGTGCAACAACAGTGGTATGAAATAGCCAGCAACGTTCCCAACAATGGTGAATATGAGATTGAGACCATTCCAACACACGCCAAAGGAATTGTTGGTGCTGTCCGTATAACTCCTGCACTACCCCCTGCCTTGGAGAAATGGAGATACAAATATAGGTGGGTTGTGAGTGAGTTTGTCAGCGAATTCGTCTAGCAAAGATGGAGAAGTCTTAGAGAATGTTGCGAATTGCCCGTAATTCTTAAAATCCATTAACGTTTATTTAATATAGCAAAATAAACATTTAAGGTTAATCATCACTTTACCTAAATTATGTTTGATATTCACCCCCCCCCCCCCCCAAAAAAAAAAAAAAAAAAGATACTTGTCATTTTATTGATATACGGCACAATAGCCGTTGAGTGTACCTGTCTGATGTTATTCTGGTGCCTATTCCAGAACACGCGCTATCTGGACTGATATCCACGTGTTGCCCACCACCAACGTCCTGGCCACCTTACTAAGTGAAGACTGGGATGTGCTTAAAACATATACCTTTAGTTCACTGAAATCCAAAGTGGAAAATCTGAGAGATGGTGTTCAAAATAGTTTGGAAGATGTCCAAAGCGTATCGCATCTATGGGATAAAATTCAAGGCTTATCTGATTATTCTGAGCCTGCTTGTCTGGCGTGGTATTATATAGACGCTAGAGAGGCACTGCCCGCAGACCTGGAGCCTTGCCCCGTGACGCTGCAGCAAGCATTGCGGGACAGAGGACGGTTTCAGGCAGACGAGACTTGCAGACGAGACCGCCCCAGTTGTGGCTTTCACCCTGGGGCTAGACACTGCGTCCGCTCTAACGATTGCAGGTGAGGGGTACGGGGGTTTGGTAACGTACTCGTGTGCTCAAATATAGATTGCACGTTTTTCTTCAATGTTCTTCGGAAATTGTTACAAGAACCAAAGTGAACTAGCAATATTTAAGATAAATGTCCCTTGATGTGAGAAGTTGTTTACAGTTACAGATTGACAGTGTACGTCTGCTACAGTTCTCATCTAGTCCAACATTTGTCTGCTACAAAAAAAACCGTAACAATCACCACCAATAGTTGTTTTATAACTTAAGTTATGCTTTTTAAAACCGTGTTTCTTTGCAGTAATTCTGGAGCTGGCCAGCAATGCTGCTACGACTCCAGGGGGTTACTCATGAACGTGATTGACAGCCCAGGGGGCGGGACCTTGCACAAGGCACATGTCAATGGCTGCCCTGAATCTAGAACCAAAAGAAGCAAATACATCAGTCATGCCATTCACGACATAGCGCCATACCATCTGTGTTGTAAGCGGCCCTCAGCTAAAAGCAACATTTGCTCGGAGACCTACTTCAAACGAAGACCGTCTAATGACGGTTGGGGTTACGTGCCTCCAAGACCAGGTGATTTTAGGAATAGTAGTTAATAATTCTAGCTTTGCCCATGCTGCAATAGTCATAAAGTTATGTATACATGTAATTGATTATATGCCATTTCTTCCCTCTACAATCTCCATTTCACATGTCATTTCTCCATCGACACATGTCAATTATACTTTCCAATTTATTTTTTATCAAAGCCTTTTGACAAGATATTTCAATGCCTCTGTTGTAATAGTCAGCAGTGATGATGTTCTTGCAGCCATTACGTTTGGTGATCCTCATGTGGTGACATTGGACGGTCTGAAGTACACATTTAACGGTATTGGAGAGTACAGCCTCCTGGAGAGTACAAACCACACCTTTACCCTCCAGGGCAGGGCCTCACAGCTGGCAGGGAGGGATGGTCAGTAGAATTACCACAGTAATGAACATAACGATATCACTAGCTGAATAAATAAATCAGTAACTGACACACAGACTTACCAAATGAACAACTAATTTTAGGCCCCCATTACACTGGACGGCGTCCTTTGTGCGACCATGAAAATGGCATCACTGTGGTCGTAGAAAGGAGGCACAAACGTCACCTTGGTTGCAGAATGAATGCTCCATGATCGACCAGTTGTCAGCACGTAAAATATTATATTTTTTACTCTCAAACGGTCTTACTACGGAAGGCAGAAAGAACGCCGTTCAGTAAAAAGGGGGCTTTATCAAGACGACCAACCAACTATAAGGATAGACGGCAAAGGAACGTAACCTGTCAATGAATTAATGTGTCGATTAGTAAAACCCCCGCAGAAAGGACGCTGTCCGGTGTAAAGGGGGTTTAAGTATATACAAAATAAATATTACTAAAACAGGACTTACCGTCTTCTTTTAGGCCAGGTCATTATGGCCACAGCGTGGACATCGTTAGCCATGGCGGGGGCCAATACCAGCAGAGTGCAGGTGTCTGTTGACGAACTGACGGGAATAGAGGTGATGGTGGACGATGAAATCATCGATTTTGAGGAACTAGGGAATGTCGTCCCGGGTATAGAAGGTGAGCATTTTAACTGCATATATAAAGGTGGTACCAGAGGGGATCAAGCAGCTCGCCCCCTCCCCCCCCCCCAATCCAAACCCCAAAAAGCTTCCATTAGATAGTTAAGCATGACACACCCGTTATTTCAGGCTGCAGAGTTTGGTCCCTTGAGTTGAGTTGAAGCAGACATGCTTGGCAAATGTGGGTCGATCTTTCAGTGGATTGTGAAAACTCTCACGCCATCCCGTTCCAACGCTCACAGCAGCTCGGTAAAAGTACATGTAGTTCAGAACTGATGGGAGGAGGAGGGGTTACATCTCAAAGGACCTCTATACGATCACTGTTTTACGTTTTGTAATGGCAGAAACAGTGCCAAGTGAAGACGTGCGTGTTTTGCCCCAGTCCCATATAGTCTAGTGGGATTTTTGAAAAGGGCTCTGCATAAGAAGCAAGGGGCATTTTGGGGTAAAAGTTGGGATCCAGGCTATTTAGCATAATTTTGGCATGCTGAATCCGATTTACCCGGTTCCCAAGCGAAATTTTGCGTTTTTAACGGTCTAATTTGCAAAAAACAAAATGGCTGCCAAATTTCCAATTTTTTGCAATATCTATGTAACTAGACAGGCGAATATGACAAATGAAGTGTCCTTACCTATATTTTCAGGGTCGAGGATTATCATTAAGATATTTCTGTTAGAATTAGGTTTACCCAATTTTCCTAAATATGCAAATTAGGACAGCCATTACTGAAAAACCATTTTACTTCTGTATCTCTGCAACTAGGCAAGCAAACATGACACATGAAGTGCCCACACCTATGTTCTCAGGTCAGGGAATGTGATAAATCAGATGTCTGATAGGTCGCACTGACTTTGTGCGTTGTGTCCAAGTAGCACTTTTAATTGTTTCTTCCCTGTATCTGTCAAACACAACATCAATCTGCTGATAGTTAGAACCTGCCTTCAGAGCTGCTGTTACGTATGTGTCAGCAAAACCACCAAAAGCCACTTCATTGTCAGGCTTTCCCAGTGAAACTACCATTGCTTGCTTATCAATTATTAGGCAAGGCGAAGAGTCATTCAGTTCAATTTCAGCAGGGCAGACTACGTCATCTGTTAACATTTCTGCTAATACGGATTTGTTTCTGGTGCACAGTGTACCATTCATTTCAGCAAGTTCATGCTTAAAGAGAGACGGCAAGTCAATTGTCCCATTTGCCTCGTAGGACTTTTATCTTCACTCGTTCAGTCAGATTTTGCCATTCTTCATAAGGTGCTACCACTTCAATTATTCAAGATGCCACTGCCACTGCACCTTGAATCTCATGAAGACCAAGAGCAATGCATCCTCGTCCTGATTGAGTAGCTTCACTTTGAAAACGCACACTGCTAGGAAAGTGGCTGAACATAGCAAGCGTTTCAGCTGCATACAAAAGTGTCCATCAACAAAGTGCTGATGTTGTTTTTGTGATACCTATGATTAGCCTCCTTTCTTTCCTGTACCATTTATCCACTCCATTGCTTGTTAGGGATCTACTTGGTTTAACTTCAGAACTGAACGCTTGACAACGAAGTTGCCCTTTGGAACTCTGTTTCCACAACCTCTGGTAGTTGGTGCATCTCTGCTTCACTGGACTCCATCTTGAATAATTGAAGTGGTCGCACCTTATGAAGAATGGCAACATCTGACTGAACGAATGGAGATGAAAGTCCCACATTCCGTCCCGTTGTGCTCGAGTAAACTGCAGTAGTATGGATACCATGTCCATGTAGGCCCACCAGAAGACAAAGTTCACATCACTGAATTTTCTCTCAACGAAATCGTTCAGAGGCTTCAGAAACTGCTCAGACTTCAAACTTGCTATAAACACAGGAATGTTTTCCGGATCGTCAATAATTCAATTGGATTCAATAGATCATCAGAAGATTAAAGCTAAAATTCAAGAAATTTGGTTATTTAAATTCAAATGATAGCAATGGGTAACCAGTGATAAGCTAATGGAAAAATCGCTGAAATGAATGAGGTGAGATGCCATCGTGCACTTGAAGTATACATATACATATTGACGTTTAATATGGAATATTTTAGTTCAAAAACAAAGTGTTGATAATAAATTAACTTTTTCTTTAGAAAAGTTGATCACATATGTCAATTGTGATCAGCTATATGTATAGTCAGGTGTGTCTGTTATTGTTCATTGGCTGCTTTCTCTGAAGCGCGGTTATATTAGGTAATATGTGGCAGTTTCTCTGAGCAGTCCTCTTTTGGTTACAGAATGCGTATAAAAGGGCATCAATTCTGCAGAATAAATCTTCATATTTCGGTAATGCCCAGTCAGAAGAGTTTGATGTTTTGCAGAATCTTAGCTGACCTTATGGTACGTGAACTAACGGCAGCAACTTGCCACACTATTGTTGCATTATGCCAGAATGGGCAGAAGCAAACTGCTATTGCCAGACAGCTGAATGTGTCCCAGGGAGCAGTTTCTAGTCTTACAGAGACCACGACCAGGACGTCTGAAAGTCACCACCAGACGGGAAGACCGCTTGTTTCTGCAGTTATGTCGCAACAACCGAACAAAAACACCAGTGCTCTACAAAATCAGTGGCAAATTACCATTCAAAAGCTTGTTACTAGAACCCTAGTGAACGCAAGGCTACTTTTAGCCGGTTAACACGCTAGGCAACCTCAAAGGAAGCCTCTATTAACAGAGCAACACCAATGTCTGCGTCAACGGTGGGCTAGACACAATTTGCTGTTCCAGCCACAGCACTGGGTTCATGTGGTTTTTTGAGTCGAGGCAAGGTTTGAGCTCCACTGCCGCGATGGCCGAAACAGAGTCCGTAGGCTTCCAGACGAGGTACTTCACGAGGCTTGTGTCACCCCTACAGTGACTGGTGGCGGTGGCAGTTTCTGTGTATAGACCAGTTTCCACGCTGGAGCCAAAACACCATTGGTGGCAATTGATGGAAACCTCAATCAGAAGAAATACAGGGACATTTTAGAGAATACTTGCTTGCCATTTGCAAGAAGGTACTTCCAGACAACTTCATCCTTCAAGAGGACAATGCCAGACCACACTGTACCCATGCAATAACTGCTTTTCTGCAAAACCAAGAGGTTACCAATTGCCTTGGCCGTCGAATTCCTCTGACATGAATCCAATAGAGAACCTGTTGGCAGAAATCACTCGCAGAATCAAAAGCTTACCGGTCCAGCCTACAAATCTGCACCAGCTTAGACAAGCTCTGACTGATGCGTGGAACACAATGCTGGATCAAACTCTCAGAAACCTCTCTGTAGGAATGCCTCGCCAAATGAGGGCTCTGGTTGCAGCTAGAGGAGGCTGCACGCATTATTAACTGTTTCCATTTTTTAAATTTGTCTTGATGATTATTTTGTTTAAGAGAAAATCCTTACCACCTGATATTTTTGATAATATTGAATTCATAATAATTCAGTACCTTGTTGTTATCTGCTATAAAATTACCCATGTGCTGTTTATAATGCTGACTTGAATATTTAAATTAAATTTTTGATAATGAATTGACACAGGATGATTTATTAAAGCCATATCGAACATGATAACAAGTGTTCTTTTCATTCATTACTAACAGATGGGGAAAAATCAAAGAAAATGTTTGAAAAAAATTCCATATATAAATGTATATTCTTATAAATTGTGTAAATAATGTAGTCTAGTGAGCCTGCAAATGCATTCATACTGTAGTATCATTTAGTGCTCAATAAACTTATTATTACTGTTATATTAAATGTTTAGTCTGTATATTGCATCACATGAATTATTTGATTCAGTAAATCCCTCCATTGCATTAATAAGGGAATCACCTTTTTCTAGGTAAAAGGGGCAATTGTGTGGTCCAATGTTTACATCCCAATGGCAGCACAGTATTTAATCGTAAAATTCAATTCAAATTCGAATAATTGCAACAGTGTGACAGTGTAGCACTTTAATATTACTGATTTGGTTATAGTGAAAATATCTTAACCACTTTCCTCGACCCTGAAAACATGGGTGTGGGCACTTCTTGTGTCATGTTTGCTTGCCTAGTTGCACAGATACAGTAGTAAAACGGTTTTTCAGTAATGGCGGTCCTAATTTGCATATTTAGGAAAATTGGGTAAACCTAATTCTAACAGAAATATCATAATGTTCCTCGACCCTGAAAATATAGGTAAGGACACTTCGATTGTCATATTCGCCTGTCTAGTTACAGAGATATTGCAGAAAATTGGAAATCTGGCGGCCATTTTTGTTTTTTGCAAATTAGACCGTTAAAAATGCAAAATTTCGCTTGGGAACCGGGTAAATCGGATTCAGCATGCCAAAATTATGCCAATAAGCCTGGTTCCCAACTTTTCCCAAAAAATGCCCCTACTATTCACATTTTGTGGAAATCTCACTAGACTAATATGCTTCGACCTATTTTAACGAAAATATTTTATGGTCAAAGATTATTCCTTTGATAGGCAACCAAACCAAAAAGATATAGTGATTTGATAGAGTATACAATTAAACTTTTCAGGCATTGAAATTGAACTACTAGTCAACAAGACCACTGTTCTGGTAAGCTTTGACGTCGAGCGAGTGTTTCTGGAAGTTCGCGAAAATAGCGGTGTGTTGAACTTCATGCTGTACCTTCCAAATAACCTTAAAGGTTAGTAGAGACCCTGTATATGTGGCGTGTGCTGGATAACCTGAAGTTCGTTTGCAAATTTGAATACGGGATTAAAAGACACAATATTAGAACCTTGTGTTTAATTCTGATGTTTAATTCCTACTTCGAAATGGCCGTGTACATTTCGAACTCCTTAATATTTTCGAAGTTTACCAATGCTTTCATTAGACATCGTCATATTTATTTATTTATTTCAGGTCACGTGACAGGACTCCTTGGAGTGTGGAATGATAACCCTGACGACGATTTGCAGTCACGTGATGGAAACATTCTAGATTCGGAAGCATCGCTGGAAGACATTCATTATAAATTTGGGGAAACGTGTACGTATGTGAACTAGGGGTAATTAGTGGAAAGGGGAACACAATGATCGCTATTGTGGATGATTAAAAGGATAGCAACTGTTCTTAAAGCAATAATAACTCTTCCTTTGAGATTCAAAATTCCGCATGAAATACATTGTAAACAACGCATGGAAATATATTCTATTGTATTTTACCACTAAAACGGCCGTTATTGTAATAAAACTAAAATCCGTGCTTGTCAATAGGGCTTTCGATGCCTTTCTTCCGGTCATCAAGGCATTCGTTGCTAATGACGTAATGGTGTCACGCGGATTCTCGCGTTCATTCGAGACCAAAATAACATATGGCGCCAAACGCATTAATGCAGACGCAGACGTAAGTTGCGAGTTTTTGTAAAGTGCGTCGGATAACGAAAAGCCCAGAATGGCACACATTGTGGATATTAATGTATTTTTAACAAAAAGACGAATATATCTCATGAATCTAATATAGTGTTGTTGTTGTCTGCTTTTCCCGCGGTTTTAAGTAGGTCAACAGTGACTATGCGATGTCAGAGAGAGCTCCGTCAGTTAAGAGATTTTAACAAAAAAACCGTACGTTTAGGAAAAAAACCTGGATTAACTTTGAATGCAGGAATGGGGTCGTTGACCATTGGTAAGTACGGGAAAATTGCCGTTTTTTCCGGGAAAATCCAATTTTTGGCCAAAACGAAGAGTTATTATGACTTTAAGATATCCATATTTCACCATAAATACAATATTGTAAACAATTCATAGAAATATGATTAATTCTATTTTACCCCCAAAACGGCGGTTTACCCAATTATTCTGGAATATGTGCTTGCCATCACATCACGTGACCTCCATAGATGGCTTCACTGTAATAATCTCTTAAGAGAATATAATAAAAAAAAACAAACTTTTTAGAAAAAAAAACCCCAGGGACTAACTTTGAATGTGGGAATATATTAATTAACCATTGGTTAGTATGGGAAAATTATACTTTAGCCCAGGAAAGTCCATTTTTTGGCCAAAATGAACAGTTGTTTCCCTTTAAATAATGGTAAATTACTGCAAATTGCTTATCAAAACAAAAAGGCAGTCCTGTTTTGTTGGAAATAATTCGTAGAAATTACAATTTTAATGTAAATTAAAATTTGATAAATTAATCAATGTATGAGGCTTCACTGTTGAATGATCTGGACTTTCAGGGCGAACCGAAGAACAGTTTTCTCTTTTCACCTATGGCATCGGCGAAAGCCATGGAAGTCATCAAAACGCATCTTTTCGGCCCATCTTTGAGCTGCTGCAACTCGATAACGAAACTCTTCAGGCCGAGATCGAGGCTGTGTGCGGAGAGAGCGTTGAGTGCAGGTTTGATTATACAGCAACTGGGGGCAATGCTGCACTGGCTGCTGCAAGTCAAGACATCATAGTGACATATGCAGAAGTGGTTTCCGACACTAAACCAGGTGCGTACAATGTCGGTTCTGTATAATTGTAATGACCTGCTATCACTTGCCTGGAGTATTTATTATAACCGACACAATCATGTCCCCTTTTTTCTTTTGTACAATAAAGATGTTGTATACGCATCTAAATATTGTTTATTCAAATACTCAGAATACATCCACTGTATACCTATTCCAAATGAAATTATGGAGATCTATCAGCACTGATGACGGGGTCAACACCTTAGCGCTTGCACGTCTGACGGCTAAAATAATGTCGTATAAAGGTCTGGTTATTTCATTCTGATTTGCTGTCTGTTTTTCTTTTTTTATTCAGTGATAAGCTGTGGGTTTTTATCATCCCCTGTCAATGGTATGAAAGACACGGTCTCTTCCCTGGCCGGTACCATGGTAACGTTCACGTGTGAGGAGGGGTACACTTTGATTGGACCTAAGAGCACAGCATGTCAAGAGGACGGGTACTGGAGCAATGATGGCGACGTGTCCTGTATCAAAGGTAATCTAAGTGTAATGTTTAACACATGTGCTGCTTCAAAATGAATTTATATGTATTCTAAAACATTCTGTGTTGTAATCTGGTCATTTCAATTATGATCATTGTCTTAGCGTATACTTTGTATTACCATAAAGAAAACCCATGGTTATATATATTATGCAGCATCGTAAGTAATGCATTATTATATGAGAATGAGGCTAAAATTAAGCACATTACTAGAACCCAGATGACAACTGTGTCGCCATTAATGTAACCACAGATGGCAATGGGTGATTTCTTCTTAATTATCATACATGTAGGTATGTCGGTTAGTTGCTCTAAGTGTTAGATATTTGTTATGTAACTCTTCCTCCTTCAACCAATTGTCAGTTACTAATGTAGATTTGCTAAAATAGATTCAGCAAACGACCCTGCCTTGTTCGGCACTGTGGCCATTGGCGTGGGATCGGCTTTGGGCGCCATCTGGCTGGTAATCATCATCTCTGTTATTGTCATCAAGATGGGGAGACACAGGAAGAGAGTGGAAGTGTACAAGAAGCGACCAGAAGAATGTGCATCTGAGAGGGAAAATGACTGTTAAACTACATGTCTGTTACTCCTCTAAACCCTGCAGCCCAGTCTTATCAAGACCTCACAAAGTATGCAGAGGAATATACTTGATGCAAACACACTCTGCGCTTTTGTTGTTTTTAATAGCCATATATTTTTACTATTTTAATATGATAATCAAGACCGCAGTTCACATCTGCGTGAACGAATCTGCTGTGAAATCATAGATTATTTGAACTCTCCTCATATCATGCAAGATCTAGGTCTTAATGCTTTTCACAATCAGTTGCCAATACAACAAGTGCTTAGAATTCTTTTAAACATTTGAAGTTATTCAATTGTATGCGCCAGAATTTTGGAGACTGCATTTTCTGTTGAAATATGGATGAAAAATTAGCGTTTTATTTCATAATATTTACCGGAGTTAAGGCAAATGTAAAGATGTATGTTTGATTGCATGCGACGATTTCGTAAAAGTACATAAATTATCACAACAATGTCAAAAATCAAGATCTGTATGGCTCCTTCACTGTCGGCTTAGTTGTTATATATTTATCAAATTTTTTCACTAACATTGTTTTGTCTTTATAATCAGTGTAATGTAATTATTATGTTGATGTTGAATATAGATACCGTGTCATAGTGTAATACCAGTATTCCAGGCAGAAGGATCTAAATGACCTCCGAGCTAGAGGAGTGGGGGGGGGGGGGGCATTCATAGATTATTCATAGATTCATAGATTATTTGAACAGTGTAACCTAATTGGAAAATTGAGCCCAAATGGTGAAATATTTATGATAATTAGGTCAAAATTGTCTCAAGAAGAAAAAAAAAACATCCACCAGCTATACACGATTACTAGTATCTATATTCTACAAAAGTGTTATCGACCAATGGCTATTTTTTCTATTTCTATAATTTAACTTGTTGTAGAACTAATGAATGAACTTCGCATAGAAAAAATCTTAGAATTTTGTTTATTATCCTCTGTGTTGTGACGTTGATATGTAGCTTACATGTACATGCGCCTTCACTAATTGCAAGTAATAATTAAATAAAACCAAATAAATAAAACAATGGGGAGTTATTGAGTGCAACTTTCATTTCCTTTAGAGTCAAAAAGTGAAGGAATTGTTTTAGAGTTAGGAAAAAAAGCAAAAGGTTTAAGTCACATAGTTTTATTTGATTAGTAAATTTCACAAGCGAATATTAATTTTCTTCCTGGTGTATGCAACGTGAGATCTGGTAATCACACAATAAATCATGGAGAGAAAACAAGCAAACGCGTGATATGTATGGAGAAATAGAGTATAAATACTTGTGAATGTATGAAAGGTCAGTCGGTGCATAAACGCTTGGAAGCTCAAATTCGTCGTCGTCACTGGATTTGGTTTTCATGTAACCAGTTTGTTGCGCTGCCTGTTTGTGGAGTAGCTTTATCATGCTTAATTAGAACTGGGTGGTCCCTTTAGATATCCTGGACAGATTTCCAAATGTCCTTCCAGTGCTATATGGCTTCTAAACTGTTTCGGAATTATTCTCAACATGGCTTCTAAAAAACTTCATCTTTCTGATTGAAGATCATATTTGTGGATATATTAAAATCTGTAATAAACTTAATGACGCAATGATTGTACCTTCAGTGCTAATGTCCCAGTTGATCCAGAAATGTAACAATACATCTACGTATACACCTCGTCAGGTGTTTTAAGCAAATTTACGTGTCCCTAATATCGTGTAAATCAAGGTATGGGATCCAAGTGACTCGATTAATTTACCACTTTCACCACACGGTCGGTAGGCTCAATATTACGTCAAAATATAATTGTATTCTTCTTTAAGGCAAATCACAGAAAATTGATAATGATAATGAAGTATTTGATCATGTTCTGTGGTCCAACAAGCTAAATTGGTGATAGAAACGGCCACATTGTAATTATCAACACACACAGCGGGAGTTTAGCAGGTGCCACAGGTCACCGGTGGAGCTGTTTATTTCCATTAGTCCTCTGTCGGCTTATATGTTTGGTTTACATGGCACAGTGAAGAGCGCAGTTTCAATTTGTTCGACTTCTTGTTCTTCAGTACCTTGCAGACGATGCCGGCAGTAACAATGGCCAACAAAATGGCGCCCAGAGCTGCTCCAACCGCAATGGCGATGGTAGTCAGCATGCTGGGTTCACTCGCTGGAAGAGAGAGCAAGGTTCCATAAAATATGTGCATTTTTACATATTCTTGAATTGTATTCTCTATATACATAATGTAAGGAAATCATCTATGCATGTATGTGTACAGGTCTACGTATATACACTGTATATATTTGGTATATGTGCTGGAAATACGAGCACCTATATCTTGTAATATATAATATTATGATAAATCGTACGGAATTTCATGTAATTTTTAAATTGCATATTAATGCATACCGCAAACAAATTCTGAGTAAGGAATTGCCATGCAAGACGATTTACCTCGAAATACTTTTCCTTTTGTCTAATAGTCAGCAAGATCCCTTTTAGATACGACATAAAATCGAAAGATTGAATGTGATCAAATAAGAGTAATGTTTTCAACTGGAATAAGAAATAGCTTTCTCTCATAGCATCGTGACGGTTTGATCAAATGGAACACAAGGGCATTTACATATCCCTGTGTAGATATATCTGTGAATACCTATCCTACAGCTATATCCCCGCTCAGATATAAATGTGACTACCTTTGCTACACTTGGCGTCGCCATAGCTGTCCCACGTCCCATCATCCTGGCACTTCACGGTACTCTGGCCAATCAGTGCGTATCCTTCGGGGCAGGTCAAGGTCACTATGGTGCCCGCCAGGGTGGACAGGTTGTCTTTTGTAACATTGGCGGAAGTAACCAGGAAACCACAGGTAATAACTGCAATAAGATTTAATTGGAGGAAATATCCCTGGTAGATTATTATGATAGCAATGAAGTCATACCTATGTTTTTAGAATTTAATGAAATTTTAGCGGTGAAAAAACATTTATACTAAAACATGAATATTCAAACACCACATTCATGTAGAACGTCACATTGCAGTGGAATATACATTTGTTTTTATATACAAATATATATTAATAAGTGAACGGAATCGCCTTGCTTCGAATTGATTTCCCTAATAAATAGTCAACAATGTCTCATAATTTTGCGACAAGAAGAATAAAAACTGTTTACTTTAAGGGATAACAACTCTTCGTATGAGATCAATATTTCACAACAAAAACATTGTAAACAACTCATAAAAATATAATGTATTTTGTTTTACCGCAAAAACGGCAGTTATAGCTATTATTCTGATATCTGATCTTGTCATTGGACCACGTGATCTCCACAGCTGATTATACTCTGTAATAATATCTTAAGAGATCTCTTAAGAGATTATTACAAAAAAATTCTTTAGAAAAACAAAAGACTAACTTTGAATGAAGAAATGAATTCAAATTGTTGTTTACTCGAGGAAAATTCATTTTTTGGCCAAAACGAACAGTAATTATCCCTTTAATTGTCAGGACATAAGAATAAAATGTCAACAATAAGAAGAAATTGTTTTACTCTCATATCATACCATACAGTACACAAGGACAACCGCGGTCAGATATAACTGTGACTACCTTTCCTACACTTGGCGTCGCCATAGCTGTCCCACGTCCCATCATCCTGGCACTTCACTGTACTCTGGCCAATCAGGGCGTATCCTTCGGGGCAGGTCAAGGTCACTATGGTACCCGCCAGGGTAGAGACGTTGTCTTTTTTAACATTGGTAGATGTTGCCAGAAAACCACAGGTAATAACTGCAATAAGATTTAATAGGAAGAAATATATCACGAGTACATAATTATGATAAAAACGAAGTCATGCGTACGTTTTAAGAAGAACGAAATGAAAACTTAGCGGTGAAAAAAAGTTAACACTAAAACATGAATAAAATAAATATCACGGGTAGATAATTTTGATCAAAATGAAATCTAAGGAGTGAAAAAAAGTTATTTTTATATTAATGTTTAGCCACCACTCATAGAAATAATTAAGGATCCATGAATCACTTTGCATTGGAATATCCATGTGCCTCATTTCCAGACAGAAGCCATCATCACAAGTATTCTGCATTGTTCGTTGCCTGTAAATATACACTTTTAACTCACCTGGTTTAGTTTCAGAGACCGCTTCAGAATATTCAACCATCACCATTTTAGTCGCTGCGGCCATTTCAGCGTTTCCTCCAGTTATTGTAAAATCAAACATGCACTCGAGGCTCTCCCCACACACAGCTTCCATCTGGGTCTGCAGAGTTTCGTTTTCGAGCTTTGGACGTTTAAACATGGGCTCGAATGATTCATTTTGAAGGCTGGCATAACTTTCACCAATGCCGTATGTGAAAAGAGATGACGTTTGACTGATGCGCCCTGCAAAGGAAATGTTGTTTTCTAAATGACCAGTATGTGATATATATATATATATATATATATATATATATATATATATATATATATATATATATATATTGTTCATTAATTGAAGATATACTAGTATATATAGTATATATACTAGAATATATATACAGATGTCACTGGGATGACTCACCAAACTGATAATGAATTTCTTCAAGTGATGCATTGGCGCCAAGCACGTGTCCATCACGTGAGAGAAAGTCATCTTTGGGGTCATCATTCCATACGCCAAGGAGCCCTTTCACGTTCCCTGAAAGAAATACAATGAGTCGTTATGTAGGACCTACGCCTCAATTGAATTAAAGACAACGGCTTCTTAACTGCTTTCGTAACTTTGATATGTAAATTAGTACATTTAACTTCAAAAATATAGTGGGCATTATGTTAACTAAAATAAGTTACAGCTTACAACTGTATATTATCAATTTTCATAGTTATATATAATTGTATAAACCGACAACGTACCCTTCAAATAATTGGGAAGATAGAGCAAAAAGTTCAAAACGCCGTTTGCAATCTGCACATCAACATATACTTGTTCATGCTCAAAACTTATATAGGCTTTTGATTCGTTGGCCACCTTTTCGATTTCAATGCCTGAAAAATTCATGTATAAATACTGATGCTAATATACAAATGGAATGCAACAACGATCTTTACTGAAAATTCGTTTCGGTAGTTGTTTTTATCATTTACAATCTGTATCAAACTTCTTATCAATTAACATTTCAAGAATTTAGTTAAAGTATCTCAATATGCTCAATTACCTTTAAAAGAAACTATGTCAAAGCCATCAGGAAAACGAAGCAGCTAATGAACACTACCATTTCCAAGACAAAACAAAGTGACCACACCAACAACTGACCAAACTCTGGCCCAGACCTACCTTCTATGCCAGGGACAATGTTTCCTACTTCATCAAAGTCAATCATGTCGTCATCTACGAACACCTCCATCCCCCAAAGTTTACTATAAGATACCTGGACCCTGCTAGTGTTGCGGCCGCGCATGGCCAGTGCTGTCCACACAGACGCCAGACCTTTCTCACCTGGAGTAAGAGTGAAAGGGGGCATTGGCTTAAACTTGGGGGATGTGTAAAACTGATGTAAAGCTATTTTCCCATGCGTTAATTAATACAATACGCTTTAGTGTGACAGAACCTGCACATCCATAGCAGTATGTTTAGACGTTTGCCAAAAATAGTCCTAAATAGTTTTAAATATATTTAAAATATCCAAGAACATTCTTTTGTAATAGACCTTTCTCACAGCGTCTTGTTACGCTTTGGATTGGAGGATACATTCATTATATGAATCATAGGTACATGTTCAAAAATTCCCAACACTAGTCTAATTTGGGGAGTTTACATTCACTGTCATCCGCATCACTTCACTCACCGTGCTGTCCGTCAACTTGTTTGCTCCTCCCCTGGCACGTGAACGTCTGGTTCGTGCTCTCTACAAGGCTGTACTCTCCTATCCCATTAAACGTGTAGCGCAGTCCGTCCAGCGTCACCACGTGAGGGTCACCGACACCAGTGGCTGGAAATTTTAATCATTGAAATCACTGCCTGTCAATGTTATCACTTGCCAATACGTTGAAACTAAGATTTGCAAATGTGCTGTAAATTAATGCTAATTTCAGGTGTCAATTGTCACTTTATAACGACAGTAAGTTTACAACAGGAATTGATAAAATGTAATTACAGTATAACAAGCACAAGGTAACCGTATGCCGTGTGATATAAATGTGTGGAACTATTATTGATTGTCATTGCTCAAAGATATCCGGTCACCCCCCCCCCCCCCATACCCCCCCCCAAACTGGTGAATAAACGTAAAACCCTGCCCCCCTCCATCTCCCTAAAGATCACTATCCCCAAATCACACAAATCTGGAACCGCCAGTACGTCCTACCTGGTCTTGGCGGCTGGTACCCTCTGCCGTCATGGGAAGGTCGTCTCTCCATGTACGTCTCAGAGCACAGGGACATGTTACCAGAACTGTGACAGCACCACGCGTGTGGACGTAAGTCTGTGTAGAAGTGACTGATATACGGCACCACGGGCGGATTACGACATCCCTTGTAGTGCGAAATATCCATGGTTCCTCCACCGTGATTGTCGGCCACGTTGAGGAGATTGCCTTGCTGGTCGTAGCAGCACTGTTGGCCGGCTCCCGATCCACTGAAATTGGTATAGAAAAAATAGCGGCCTTTAAATGACAGGGCACATGTAAGTCTAGATAATTGAAAATAAGTTAATTCCCACTTTTGGAAATTATTTCTTTTTTTTCCACACTTTTTGAATTAATTATTTGGGATCCCACCTGCATTCATTTGAGCAGACGCAATGGAAAGCTCCAGGATGTAAGATACATCCATTGGGGTCTCCACGGTGACATGTCGGGTCGGCATGGAAACGGCCTCGGTCTCGAAGGGCTTGCTGTAAAGTTACGGGACATGGTGGGAGATCTTGTGGCAATATTTCGTACTTGAATTTGTCATTTTGGTACCAATTTCTACACCAGATGGAATTAATTGCACGCGACTGCTCGTGGATGTTCCTTTTAGTATCTTCCCATGTGCCGACGAGTAAATTGAGCCGTTGTATCTGATGAAATGTTTCTTTGAGAAAGCCACTTGGGATCTTCCTCTCCTGCAGTACCGTTGCTAGTTCATTGTAGGTGTGCCACTGAAGCACGTGGATATCTGTCCATATCGACCTGATGGGGGAACCATGCATTAAGATGAGGTCAACGCTCCATTTACCGTTTGTCATATCTTGCAATTAATAAATTGGATTTATTTTCCTATGAATAATTTACAAATTTTAGTTTTATCCCCTTTTTATGGCAGGTATATATATAACCTTATATCATAATTCTTCCTTAATAAAAGTTATCAATTAAAATTAGTTCTATTGATAAAACAAGACTTCTTTACTCGTTCATGCCAATTGTATACTTGCTTGTGTTCTCTTTCAAATCCTGGACATGGGTTTGGGTAAGAGAAGTTAGAGTATGGGAGGGACCCTCTTATACGCACAGCTCCAATAAACTCTGTCTTGTTGAATTTCACGGCAACCGCGCCCAGGTCGAATCTACCGTTGTTTGGTACCTTCTTAGCCAATGTGTACCAGTTGTTTTCCACCGCGCCATCTTTCGGCTCTCTGAAATATTTTAATACCCTTTTTCGTTAATTTGAAAAGCAAACACGATGCATACTAGAGTAGGTAAAAATATCTTCAAGATATGCGAACAGAATTATGTTTGAAATACTTTAACAAATGTTATCCCAAATTCATTTGATGATCTTAATTGCTTCTTGACAATAACATTCGACATATATCACTATAAAACACCTACTCAAATGTAAGAAGATCAATGTCCACATTTTCTGCTTCCGGTTCACCATCTACAACCTGCTTTGGCGTCCATTCTATGTAGTATGGACCACTTTCGCGCCATTTCGTATCGTCAAAACGTGTAACTTTAGAAAATGCCTCATTGTATTCTATAATAGAATAAGGTAGATTGCATCAGGTAGATTGTTATCAAAATTAAAGGCACTTGTGTGGCAGAAAAAAATTTAATAATGACGATTTTTTAAGCTACATAACTACTTACAGAGTACGGAAACGTTTAAAATTAGCACTACTTAATTGATTAACCTCTCTGACAGCAGACAACCAGTTTCACGTTATATCTATTAATATCTTTCTGTGGAAAGATTTGCCATTTAAAAGCTATTGCCTGGTACAAAAAATCCTTTATGTGTAAAATTAGTGCCCCCATTGATGGAAAGCTGTACATCTGCTCTCCCCATGACAAAGAGCGGCGGTGTTATACACTTGGCTGTCCTGTCGTTGTGGTATTTTCCCTCCACTGTGACGTCACCAAATTTACATATGATATCATGTACTTCACAATCTATACAAGGTCCAGATAACAAGATCTCCTCTCCTCCGAGGATGTTGCCTCTGACGGGAGAAATCATCAAGGTGCCTGGAAGATAAAGACATGGTGTGAAGACAGGCAGACAAGCAGGCTGACAGCAAATCGAAAGACTTGCACGCAATATATGCATCATAAGTTGTTTGTGTCAAAATATCTTGCACCTATTTACCCTCTGCATTGCACCCCACCTTTTTCAACATTAGCTTTGTCTATTAACCCTCTGTATTGCACTCGCCTTTCTCCACTTTAGCTTTGTCTATTTACCCACTGTATTGCACCCTCCTTCCTTCACTTCAGCCTTGTCTATTTGGAACACCCAGCGTCCAGGAGTCTGGACGTTGCTAGTTCTGGAGATGTTAACTATGGCGCCCGTGCGAGATTCATTCACCGCATGGTAGTGTTCACCATCACCGGAGTCGAAGCCAACCTAAAATAACAAAGTTGGCTTTGTATGACTGACAAGTTTGTACTTTTGCCTATGTACAGTACCAGTAAAATAATTTCTAGTGGTCGGCCTAAGGGCTATGGCGTCCTCTTCGGTGTTTGAAAATGTTTATACAACAAACATTCAACTTGAAAAAGGCACTAACAGTGCTTTTGATCAAGTTCTCCACTTCGACTGCAAAATCCAAGATGGGCCATGGGAAGTAGTTATGATATTTCTATTCTGACTACTATGACCACCGCCTTCTTCTTCACTTTAGGCGGGATGACATATCAAAGGGCACATATCTGAGTGATGACAGAGGATCGACCGTGCCTCCAGGCTGCTTCTGCTTTCTCCATCCTTAGGTGTAACAGTTCATGTTGTCCAGCTTGTTTCGGCAAAGTCGAAAATTAAACAAAAACTGCACAGAGATTTTGAAAGAGAGAGGAAGATGTACATACCTGTGCTGGTATGCCTCCCAGACCTGTTCTACTATCCCCGCCACTAGCAGTTCCAGTTGTCCAGGTTATCTTAGCGTAGTTGAAGATGGCAAACGAGTGTCTCCCGTTGGTCGCCAAGACTGCTTGAAATGTGTTCGTCTAAAATTAAATCATATGCCACTCAGGTGACGAGGTTTTCAAAGACCGGGGAAACATCAGATGGGAGAGGAACGAGAATGTGGAATACAGAGTCACTGAAATGGTGTCAGGATAAAGGGGGTCAAGGTCAGGCCAAATTTAATACTAAATTACACCATCTACTTGGGAACAACCTACCCTTCAGATTAATTAAGACAAAACATAATGAAAAACTTGTTCCAAATTCTCTTTTTGTGATTAAAAAAAACAGGAAGTTAACTGACAGGAGTATATTGATTCCCACCAAAATATGTGACATTGTTCCACGTGGCAACAAAGGCCCACGTGGCCGTCAGATTTCTAAACCCTGGGAAGGCAATGTGTATGATAACGTCAACTCTTTGCATTAGTCCCGGGTCTGTTGCTGATGTAACCTCCCTGTAGAAGACACGACCAGAATTTCTCCTGGTGTCCACGTCGGTCCAGAAAGGAGCAACCATTCTCCATGAATTGTGTAGTGGAAATGGAGCGGGTGTGAACTGTCTGATAGGCTGCAGAAATGATATGGCACCATTGGTGTTCACCTGAAATCACGGTATAATGAAAGAACTTCAGCCCATTTTTTTCTAAACTTTGGGACCCAACATTTGTGCTATTTCGGTTCAAAATGAATCCATAGTAGTCATAAATGAAATAATTATTGCCCTGAAACATTGACAATGTCTTTCTTTTTATAGAAAAGGCGAAATACATGTTCTCTGCTTGATGATGGAATTACCAGTACTACTGTGATATGCAGGAACAAAGTACCCTAAATATTAGTCTAAAGACCAATTTTCGGACCATAATTCTTTTTTGAAATAGGCCCTGTTGAATTGAAATAAGGCAAATATTGCGACAGTAACTGGGACAGTGGTTTCCAATACAGTGTGGCTCTGGTTATATTACTTTAATTAGCTTTCAGCACAACAATTATGACAAATTACGTCTCATGATGATCCATTTGGACGTGTTAAAATCAATGTATTTTGTCTCCGCGAACCTCAATAAGGATAAGACGCAACCTTTGGTAATTTGTCACATCAAACGTGCTACTTCACCCTCGTGAGTTGTCAAACACAACTAGAGATTATGGATGTTAAAGAGTTTATTATGTTGACTTAAAAGGGCTTCTTTTCAATTGATTGAGAATTAATGCCCTAAAGCCTTTTCAGTATCTTCCAGGAAATGCGATTATTTCCAACACAAAGGAATTAGCTTTTTGCCGGCATGTGAACTACCGGTTGGGGTGCTTCTAACGAGGAGAGTTAATGGATTATATCTCAAGGATAAGATTCATTTCAGTGTGTTTGAAGGTTGGATGATTTGTTTATTTGTGTAACTTATAGTTAACTATCTCTTAATGAAAGCCACGCCATCAGAAATAGAATATTGCGAAAATACGGATTAGTGACCACGACTTAACTGGATCGCTATACTAAAATCCCTACTGAAAATAGTTAGTGGCCTCACTGTAATGAAATTGAAACGGAAATTCTTTTTTTTTTTACTGAAATGTGAAGAACATAGTAACGGAAGAAGCAGACCCATGATACATCCTGAGCAGAAAACAAATCATGAAAAACTGCTGTCCAAAAAGCGAATCATGCTTTATATATATTAGTTTGAAAATATCAATACCAATAGTCGTTTTATTGTGCTACTTCCCAGTAATAATTCCATATCTATTTTGTATAGATTTTTATAGTTATTATAAAGATGTTATGATAAGAGTAGAGAGCCGGTAAAATGTAACTTGTACACATTTAAGTGCTCAATAAAGATTATAAATTGTAAAAATAAGTATGTTATTATCATTATTTGTCTCTGTACATTTTCACAGTTCATTGTCTTGTTTACAGGTATGAAGAAGGAATGTGTACACCGTTTTAACTTAGTTTTTAAAAGATAAAATTCTGTGCAAATATATTGTTTTACACAGCGTTTTAGACTGAACAGTTGGGTTTGAAATATCCCCGCTGACTAAAATGTTTGATAAAGTATCTTTCAATTATATTTACACTGCCATAAAATGCCTCTTTAAAATTTGAGATACAAGAAAGCCTAAGTGTTTATAACGGTTATCTTATCAATTAAGTGTAAAATGCCAATTATTTTTGAGACAGCGCTACGTAATTCAAGGGAAATGTATAGTTGAACAAATTTAGTTATTTTTTATTTCCACGTTGTTTTGTGTATTTTACACAGGTATATATATTTTAATATGTTTTTAGAAAATTCTAGACACGTTAAGCTATTTGTCACAAAAATCAAAACAAGTGGAATTGATGTTTTTTACGACTTTATCTCCTTACTGTGGTACAGATCAAATGGTCCTAGTAAGTTAGAATTACATAAAAGTTTGACAGATTATAGTATCACATGACATGGTATTCCCTGGCCTTTCTTTCGGAGTCCGAATTAAATTTTGAAATTTGCTACTATTTTTAGAATAATGTTTAATTTACAATGGATATGCAGTTCTTGTAATTTAATGGTGTTATATATATATATATATATATATATATATATATATATATATATATATATATATATATATATATATATATATAAAGCACATGGAAATACATGTACATTTTTAGTGCGCTGTATGTTTCTTTCAATTTGGTATTAATTGTAACCTAAGTTTTCAAATTGCAAAAAACCATACTGATATTTTAATATTCTTTCAAATATCGGTTTACCCCGGTAAATATCGGTTATTCCTACAAAATTATGTATTACTCATGCGCAATCTACTTACATACAAGGATGAATGCGGTAGATCAAAATAAGGAAAGATAATCTGCAGCTGAATTTCTTCCGAGCTTCCGTCATCGTTAACAGGCGCCATACTATCTCCGCTAGCGTTACCGTACGGAAAAAGGAGATCATTAGAAACTTGTGGTTGACCATCAGCTAGTTGTGTCAAAACCACCCCGACAAAACAAAGGATGACGCGCAGCCACGCCACAGGGTCTGCCATGTTGGTTCACCTGGATCAGGAAGTTTTGGAAGACGCTGTTGACGGTAACTTTACTTATCAGAAGGAGCTTGAGGTCAGGTAGAGATAATTGCGCGGTCTGACTCATGATGTCATACTGTTGCCATGCCAGCAACATATTAATGCATGGTATGGTTATATTTTGGTTTTTGTGATGAAGTTTAATCTTTAATCTGTTTAGATTTTTTCTAAGGTTTGGTTTTTACTGATTCATTTAGTCATCTTATCTTTTTATCCTATTGTTTATGTATTATTTTCCTATCTTATCCCTGGATTTGGGATATTTCACCATCGCCCTAAAAACGAAGTCGGCATTGACCAGTGCTGACCATCTATCAACTGGGAACTTTTTTTGTAGAACACGTGCTACAAAGCATCAACATGAAATATCCTCAAATTATCCTTTGACTATGATATTAAAGTAAGGCAGTCTGTAGTAGGTACTATAACCGTCTTAGACCAAAGCGTTTGTATGTAGTTAATAGGCTATCCAGTTTAAAAGGTGTAACCATAGATAAAACTTAAACATTTATGACGCAGGCCCCGGGACATTTCGTGAAAATAAGGGTTTGCCATAGGCTCCACTCTTTTATTTCCAATTAAATATTGCGGCGGAAATGACCGCTGAGAACTTGGAGTACGATAAGTACAAGATCTGGAAAGGAAGCTGTTAGATGATTGGCCACGTCTCTCGTCTGCTGTTTACTCTATATCCGGGCATTTACCAACAGACCAACGGACTATCCTTTCAAAGTCTCAATCAATCTGAAAATAGACTTAAAGAAAACACAATTAAATATTTTTGCATCTCATTTACAATTATTTCGTGTTCATTGAAATCTAATTTTGTGGTCTATCCTATAAAATATACAACGTCCCACCCACAAATCAATGTGCTTTTATTAACAAATGATCACCTCAAAGGTGTACATTGCTCTAAAAAATGCTTTTTATTTCAGATACCATATGTACATGATTAATAGTTCAGAATATACAAAATAGCGATGAAAATAGCTATATTTTATAACATTAATTCTAATTTATTCAAATGGCATCGGCCCTTGGCGCCATCTTGCTGGTTGTTGTAGTCTCTGTCATTGTCTACAAGACAGTAAGGCGCAAGAAGAGAGTGGGAGCATACAAGACGCAGAAGCAACCAGCTTATCCTACACTTGAGAAAACAAATGCATGTTAGACTAATTAGTTATTACTCTGGTAAAATCTGGAACACTAACAGTTACCCAGACAGAGAGGAATTTTTATCATCAATATGTGTGCAGTGGGCTGTACTTAATTCAAACCCACGCTTCACTTCTGTTGTATTTATATAGCTGCATATAATCACTTCTTTTAATCTGATAATCTAGGCCAGAGTAACGTCATCTTCGTGAACAAATCTGATGTAGATGCATACATTAAAGCTATTTTGAGCTCTTGTTGTCTCACGCGAGATTTAGGTCTGCGTGCTTTTCAATAAATGCTTATTTTTTTAACATCTTTATTCTCATGAAGGTTAAATATCGTTGCAGTATAATTGCAGGTGGCAATTTGCCAAGGCATTACATGCTCACCTTTGAATTTAAATTATAAAAATAATAAAAACAACGAAAATAATATAAGATAATAAGATAATAATAGTTAAAATGATAATAATAATATTCAAGGAAAAGACAGACACGAGGACATGAGTGACGTTTGAGGGGATCGAATGAGGGACAGGGCAAGGGGGAAAGGTATTTGTAGGGGGTGGGGGGGGGGCAAAAGGCCATCAGGAGAGAGTCATAGGCGCCAGAACAGATATGGAAGTGTCATCGACCAGTGGCTGTTTAATAACATTCTAGAAGTGTTNTTTTGACTAGCTTAATTATAGATGAACCTTACCAAAGGGCACTGTTTGCCCTCCAAACCACCAAAATTTTTCAGGCCCTTGAACAGACCTTGTCGTCAGAACGATTACATTTTTGACTCTGTTTAAACATTCTTAATTGATAACTTATATATTCAAACATTTGATCAGTCTTTCGCCCACCCTCTCTGTTTGAGCTTTGCCTGTTCCTCCCCACAGCCGTCTTCCAATGTGCCAGGCCCTCCTCTCCTATTACATAATTATTATATTTATCATTATAATAATTTCATTTTATCCATAATAATTATTTATCTTCCAGTTATCTTGCTGTGTTTTTATGTGTTTTTATAGGTGAGCCCCTGATTCTTACACTGACATTTATTTATTATTTTTCAGGATAGATCAGGCAACGTTGAGGAAAGAGAATCAAACTAGCACACGGGGCTGCAGTTGACTTACAGAGACATCTATCGGTATAATTGCGAAGCAATACCAACTAAAGCAATAATACTTAAGTACCAGTCTCTGTGTGAATAAACAATTGAACAGGGACATCGGGAAGTGACACTTACAGATTTTGTAAAGTTTAAGTATTTTTTTTCTTTTTAATTTTTAAAGGAGAGCAAAAACACTTAAATTGTCTGTTTTTAAATCCATATGTCATGATATTTAACAATGTCTTAAAATAAAAAAAGCTAATTTATCCAATTTTGTGATTTATGCATTCAAAAATAGCTGAACTTGAAATATTGTAATCTGGATTTTTCCATCCCAGGTGGTAATTATTATGTGCAACTAAGAAACTAATATCCGTTATGTTGGTTTGGGCTATAGTGAACAAATCCACCAATTTCCATCAGTCTGAGAGTGTCATGTGTCATCCTATTCGGAATCTTACAGATACAGTTACTAAAATTTCGTCAAAGCTTGAGAGTCCTGGAAGCAGCAAGAAGAGGGCAGACGTATCACTTGCGTACCTTTTTAACGGCACATTATTTGCATAATTTTCTGGTATCAGTAATAAAGTCGTGTATTTTTGTTTGCTTCTTCGATAAAGTAAATTAAAGAACTAATGTCACAATGGCACTGTATAAATATATTTTTGTTCCTTTTATTTATCCGCCATTTTATCGAAGAAAACGATTTGGAAATCCAAGGCAATTGCAACGCAACAGACAAAAAGTTAAGGAACATAAACACAGGATAAATTGCACCCTGATGACTAAGGTGATAGCATTTATTTAAAATGATCAGTATACTTCATGCTTTTCATAGTGGTGCTTTTGTCCTTGTCATCGTTTTTATTCCAGTGACTTTCGTAATGCGCAAACAATTTCTTGCATTTAACTAATCTCGCACATACAGTAGATGTTATTGCAAGTCCAAAAGACACTAAGCGTTATCCTTGGTAACCAAATTCATCAAACTGATCTGGGTCCTGAGCCTTTTTTGCGACTTTTGCGTACTCTGTAAAACTCCCAAATTTGACAACACATCCTGGAGATGCTATGTCGTCAATTTCATCTACATTCTCATGGTTTCCAATAACAACCACGCAGATAATCCATCCTGTAAATAAATATAGAAAATGAACTGATAGATAAAGGCGACAGAAAATATAAATTATCCAAACAACTATATCATATTAATTTGAACTGTGGACCTGTTTCAAGGGTCACATCAATAATGACCTTATCAAATAAGAGGACTGAAAACCTGAAAATAGGCTGATTGTATTTGTTGTTTCATTTCAACAAAATGTGGATTAAAAAAATGAAAATAAAACACACACACACACACACACACACACACACATATATATTCACTAATAAGATGATCATAATGTTCTATATTTTAAACATGAAGTGAAGAATATCAGGTACATGTACGGAAAAAGTTAACTACAATATTGGTCACTGGGCCTTTACAGAACGATTGACCCACAACATTTCTAATAACATGCGAAACAACATCTTAGTCCGGTTAGAGTTACGCATGTCTTGACTTAGACTGAATGTTGATTTGATCATTTTGACAATACAAACTCGAGGTATATACTAGCCTTGTTTTTTAATACTTGTTGCTCTTGGTCGAGGACCGCCCCGGTTAGACACACGGTCAGTATGTAGCCATATTAGCTTCCAGCTTTCCTCTAAGAACATATCTTCAAACATGAGCTGCGCAGTCTCCAAAGCCAGTTTTGTGTTTGTACCTCCCACTTGTAAGTAGAAAAACAAATGATTGTAATAATGAAATTTGTAATAATGTAATATGTGTGTATGAATGTGAGTGAAGGAGACAGGTAGACAGAGAATGAGAGAAAGTGAGAAAGAGAGAAGAAAGAGGGCGAAAAAAGAGATTCACTTACTTCTTCTGCCAATCGCGTCAATGTAACCTTGAACAGATTCCAAACCAGTGTGTTCATTCAGCTCGAACTCTCTCACCACATCAGTGGCAAACGTCAATGCACCAACCCGGGTTCCATCGGGGGCAATGGGACTATGCCTATCGATGAATTCAGCAATCATCTGAGAAAAAAAAGGCATGTTTATTTTCAATTTATTCAATACATTCACAGTTTAACTACAAAGATGGCATATCAAGAATACATGAAATGAAATATGTTAACGTTATGGTGTCAAACTAAAAAACTTCATTTTAACAAGTTGTGTAATGTGGCTTTATCTCACTTTGTACACTGTGCATAATGCCTAAAAAGCACGTATAGAATAAGCCAACCATTTTCATCCAACATCTAATTGCTCGAGTCAAAGTATGGTGAAAATACCTTAATAGAAATGGCACGATGCCCGCCCCAGGTGTTTCTTTTATTTCGTATTATAATAATTATAACACATTAGAAATAGCCCATGGTAAGATCACTGACGTGTGGGAACGGGATCCGGAACAGGAAAACTAAGTTTCTTTGGATTTTTTTAATATTAAATTCAAAGTAAAAGTAAGTTAAAATTAAAAATGGAAAATTATTTTACATATTGTATTTTGTGTTATCAAAGGAACCCTTACGTTTGTTGCATATTTCTGCGCCTTAAACTCAGTATCATTAATGCTCGAACTGCTGTCCAATGCGAAGACAATATCGAGATCAGGGTTGTTGCAGTTGGTTTGCTCGGTGGTACAGGGAGACACAATCTTCTTTAAAATACCCGAAAGCTCACTTGCCGTCGTTGATGTCCCTTGTTGACAGTATGTTAAATAATAGTGATAAATGCAATACAGTTGCGATACAATTTTTAAAGATATCATAGTAAGCGAACAGTTTCCGATGAGTAAACGCAATGAGAACATGGCTTTACATATTAACCAAGTCGCAAGATATTTTTTTTTTCTTTATTATTATTTTTAAAGAAGTAAGAGATTGGTTTAAGTATTTGCCCTCTAGCTACTTCCAGTTGGAACTCTAAATTAAAAATAGAAAGATTATGATTCCCTTTGTATGCAATATATGGATTTTGTTTTCAAATCTTACTCCCCTTTTTAAGAGATAGAGAGCGTACATGCAAAAACATCTTGTAATCACGTAAGTGTTACCATACAGTTACGGTGTACAAAGAAATCACGTTGTCCATTTTGTCATTATTTAGGGAAAATAATCTATATGCAAAATGTATCAATGGCTACAACGAAGTAAATGACTAACAGTGATACCTAATGCACGAATATTTCCTTATCAGTCTTTTACAAGAAATTTGTGCATTGTTCAGTAAGCCAGTATATACCATGAATTTATATTACTTCTGCATTTAACGCGTATTATAATATATACGTAATTGGGTGTCAGTATTCTTTATGAAACTGTACCGAAAAAAATATACATATACTGAGAAATATTGCAAAGGTGGGGTATAGATGCAAACTTTTCTATCAAGTATAACAGTCAAGGTACACGGTTTATCATATTAAACGTTTTCCTATTAATTGACAGTTTATGGAATGCAATTATCAATAACTTACCATTCCTCCGGGGAACAGAGTTAACCACACACCACTCGTTCAGCAACAAAGCAGCAGCCAGAATGAGTGCCCAGAATCTCTTCATATCGGTTCCAGTGTAATCTGTATAACGTAACGTAACTAGTAGCTGCTCTGTCTTATATAATAGTAAGAACGGATGCGCTGCTGGCACACCTATTGTGTTGTTATTGCCAATGGCCAATGTAACCGCCAAAGACGAATTTAATGGTAGTCTAGTACAAGGTATCATATGTGACTTTTGTATTAATTGAGGGGAAATATGTAGACTTATCGGCCACGTTTAAACATAGCTTCCCCAAGACTATCCTTGCGCTCCAGATAAAAAAAATTAATGGCTAACCTGTATCAAAACCAATTTAAAATCGTGGTAAGTCTAGAACCAATTCTTGCAATTTCTTTGTCTGAAAATACACAGAAATGTATGATATTGGGACAAAATTCCTCAAGAACAGGAACTTCAAAGTTGACATGAAGGAAATAGCTGTAGGTTGTAATGACAGTCTAAATGCAGCCCTTGTGACCCATGATGCCTTAAAGTGCGGTCGTTAAATGTTTGATTTCTGCCATGAACATGTTCTTTGAGACAACAAGGTTTTGACAAACCTACAACTGAGGAGTAAAATGAGACAATTATTGCGCCCGGCGCCTTGTTAGAAAATAAACACACATGGCTTTGAGTGAAATACAAAGGATGACAAGAACATTGCGCCATGTTGCTATAAGTTTAATGGCAGCGTAATATGTGGGGTTTTACATTTTGAATACAAACCGCATCTTTACAACTCCATCCAGACACGTTGTTTATAGGTTTTGAATGCAATGATTACTCAATCCACTCCGGTAATGCATTGCTGGCGAAGCCATGCAAAGCCTCAACTTTAAACGTCAATGTCTAACCTGTATCAAGACGAAAAGCAAAGTGCGGAACAACTCGAACCAAAACCTGCAATCGGTTTGTCTCAAAATACAAAGAAGTGTATGAAATTGGAACAAAAGTCCTTAAGAACACAGGAATCCCAACGCAGACTTCAAGTACATAGCTGTCTGTTGTAATGATAATCTATGACTGGGTTTTCACACATAGAATCTAACAGAATCCATCCATATCCGAGAGCTTTCTCACTAAATTGTTTTAAGCTTAAGAGTCGAAGATGTCTGACACGCCTACTGAAGCTGCTAAACGATGATTGATAACCCCCTACCAGCTTATGTAGACGAGACAGACATCTAAGCCGCTTAAGCTGAATTTAATTTAGCGAGAGTCCCCGTTGAAATAGGTCGATCCACAGATAATACGATAGGGTGTGAGAATGTCCCTAAGTGAGCCCCATGGTCGACCATAATGCCTCAACGTGCGCTCGTTAAATTGTTTATTCCTGCCAAGAACATGTTCTTTGAGATATTTTTTTTACAAACTTACAACTTAGAAGTTAAATTAGATTTTTTTTCGTCCGGCCTCTCATCAGAAAATAAACACATTGCTTTGATGGATGTACCGAGGATAACAAGGGCTCTGGCCATGTTGCTATAAGTTTAATGGAAGCGCAGTGCGTTGGGTTTTACATTTTCAAATGTGACCGTGCAGTCTGAATACTGAGCGCATGTTTACAGGTACGTTCTTTACTCTCACATTGATTACGAAATAATGTCAGTATGGGTATTTTGTAGGAAAGCAAGATGTTCCTAAAATGACCGCCAACTTTCTGGACATGGTCTAATAAAAGAGTAATAATACTCTAATATTTTGTCTCTGCAGGCTCTTAAGACACTTTTGATCAGGGCGTCTCTGGTGAATCAACAGTCCTTTACCAGTAAATATCCACTTTCACCTGACACGTTGTTAATGGGGTTTGCATAACTCAGTTCAGCCCGGTGATGAATTGCTGGTAATAATAATAATAATAATAATAATAATAACCAAGGGTAGGCAAAAAAGTGTTATAAGTAAAAGTATACGATTAAGATGTTTGTTCCCTGGTCCACATGCAGCTAATACCAAGAAATGAAGACTGCTGACTTTTGTCTACACCCAGTTGTTCGCCTGCGCAACTTTCATGCCTTAAAAAAAAGTCAAGTGAATTATGAGCAATTATTTTAAGAAAGGAAAAAATACGTCCTAGCACCCTTTATTGGTATGTGATGAACGTTAAACGCTTTCCTTGTAAGGTCTAATATTCACAAAGATGTTATATCTCTGTAATGTACTACTGGCTATTTAGTATCGAGTTAGACCCCATTTCCAGAGAATAGATCGATCTACTTTAGATCGACCTAACTCCCTGGGGCTTCACGCTAAATACATGTAGCTGTCAGCCGAGCGGACACGTAAGTTAATTACCCCCTTACATCTTGTAGTAGGCGGGACGGACATTTAAGGTGACTGGTAGTAAAAGGACCAAAGTCATAGAAACAAAGCCCTGGACTTATAAGCTTTTATACAAAATGAAAACAAACTTCCCAAAAGGCCAATTAAAGACGGGGATTAAGTACAGTGTCCAACGGATGACGCTCTGGCGCCAATTTGAGGGGAAAAATGCCGTTTTCGGTATTGGGATTTTCTCTATAACCAAGACAGCTATTCAAGTGATTCAAAAGGCCTCATAAAGCTGGGTGAAAGCACTACAGCGGGGTACCAGGGAATTGTCTTAAACTATTTACTTTTGATTTTATCATCTTTTACGTTAAATCAGCCCATATTTCAATGGGTTATTCACTTCAAAAGGCGATAACTTTCAAACAAACAATTTCCTCTTAAACCCCTGATATCATGCTGTAGTCCACATTCCTAACAACAATAGGTGCAACTTTTGTAACGATCGGTTGCTCAGATAGTGAGATATACTTGGCAGCGATTCACTTATCTCGTCAATATAGAAAGCTGTTAAAACAGCCAAAAACGTTCACAGGTTGGTTAACAGGGCTTATTAGTCAAATGCTTAGCTGGCAAATTTACCTGTTATCGGTTATACGATCAGATGGAACCATTGCTTATTGTCATCTAAAAATATTTTGTTTGGGTGCTTTGAAGGGGCAGAAAATCGTGCTTTTGTTACATTTTCCGACCACTCGTTAGGCTTGTAAGCGTGCCGCCATTTTGATTGACAGCTCTGGAGAGGGCCCTAGCCTAGTGATGCCCAGTAGGGTGTCAAGGATATGTAGAAGGAAGCGCTAACAAAGGCGATTACATTTAACCGCAATTAAGAGGTGTGAAGTTGCATTTGAACGTTTCAATGGCTTTTCCTCGGCAAACGAGTAATTTTACCTGAGAGATTCCTTTTCTGTTATCGGCAAAGTGATCAGATAAAACTGTCTGTCGAGAGCAAGTGGCCGTCACTTGTGTTAATAAGAGTTTTTTGACGGGTAACGCTGCAGGATTATTTTGCACGGCACTTGGTAATCGTCAGATCAACGAAAAAATCCAGTGATTACTTCAGAGCGGTCTCTCTCAAAATGCCAGCTAAGATAAAGGGGAAACGCTCAGCTGCACACGATTCAGCGGTAAAAGTGGCTGAGAGAAGTCTTTTGAATAAATATTTCATTTTTACACACATGACACTTAGACCCTATTTGCTTTTTACCTGCTAGTCTTGACTATTTTCGGAGTCTTTTTGTGATTTTCATTTTTGGATACATTTTGAACTCTTTCTTCCCGCTTGATCAGTGATTTTGAAATTGTTTTTCTCCAAACATCGCAAAATGCAAAGCCGCTAACATGCGTTTTTATTTTTATTGTTTTAATCATGCTGTCAACCCTTGCTTGGATTTCTCTCGTTTGGCCATTCACATCACAATTTTCCGCGTGTCTCTCAAGCTCCATGATATCATATCTTGGAGAATAAAAATTTATTTTGTCAACATTAGATTTACCTTTTGCAAACGGCGACCAACAATCATTTTTGGTTTCGTAACGTGTCGCAGATACGCTCGCCGATATATATCGCAAAAATTAAGAGCTAGGCTAAAAGTATCCTTTTTAGCTTTTTTATTTATTTATTTATTTATTTATCGATTTTTCTTTCATTTGTCAATTAATTTAGGCGATTCGATTAACTCTTTCGCCCATTTATTAGGTATACAGAAATCAGTTATCCGACTAAACAAATAGGGCGGGTTTTCCCCAACCGCCACGCATAGGCCCTACTCTCTTTCAAAATTTTCTTTCTTTCCTCTGGAAATGGACTTTTAACACGAACTTTTCTCTTCCCCATAGTGTACTAGCTAGACTTCTTCTCTGCTAAGCTGATGTAAGACTTATGACCTATTACCGCACACGTAATCGGCTTATAACTCATTAACTGTGCTCCGACCCCCTCATGGCAACGGCCCTTAGTAACAGAGGCGTGGCTTAGTTGTCAGCCTGACTGGGGCGCGTGCCGGTTGAAAAACTCATCAAAAGACACATTTTGCGATGCAAATTCATAAAACTTATTACATCCAACGTTAGATACTTATTTGATTAATATAAACACACAAAAAATTCAAAAATATGATTTTAAGCGTATTTAACCCTATCACCGGCCTTACGCCGGATTATCTGACAGTAATCTAGTGAGACTCCCCGCGGGGATAGATCGATCTAAAAGCTCTGGGAATACAGCCTTAGTCTGTTGCCAGATCAGGTATTTGGTCAGTCGGTGATAATGCAGTTGGTTGGGTAGTTAATCAGTTAGCGAACTATTAAGTGTGGTATTTAGTTACTTAGTTATTCAGTGCATGTAGGTTATATGATGTGTTAGTTGTCCTTCAATCATAATGCGACAGGCAATGGCTTCTTGTCAATAGACAATTAAGCAAATAATAAATGTTGCGATTCTACTCACCAGGCACCAGGCAAAAAGTTTAGAAACATAAACACGAGATAAATTACACCCTGATGACCAAGGTGTTGTCATTTGTTTAAAATGATCAGTATTCATGCTTTTGAAAGTGGTGGTTTATTAGTCTTCATTATTGTTCTATTACAATGACTTACATAATGCGCAAACGATGTCTGCATTGAAAGGATCTCGTACATATAGTGGATGTTATTGCGAGTCCAAAAGATACGAAAAGTTAACCATAAATATCACTGTGCTTTTCTTGTGATTTAAATATACTCTGCAAAATTTCCTATTTCGACAACACATCCTGGAGATGCTAAGTCGTCAATTCCATCTACATTCCCATGGTTACCAATGACAATCACGCAGATAATCCATCCTGGAAATACTTGTATGTAAAGATAATGAATTGAATAAATAATACAAACAGAAACGTATATATATATATATATATATATATATATATATATATATATATATATATATATATATATATATATATATATATGAACGCCAGGACAGGCGTGTTTATCAGTACAATTGAAAGCATTCAGCGAGGGCCCCAGAGCAACTGTATCGATCTCAGTAGAATGACAGATATACAGGTATAAGGAATGAAATCTTAGAGTAAGCGTTTTTGTTCTTTCAGTAACTGACATTGTTTAAGGTACTTGGCGATTAAAAGTGGTTAATTATGAAGTTGAACTTTGGGCATGTTTCAGGGGTCACATCAATTTAAGTCTTATCAGAAAAGAGAGAATATAACTTGAAATTTTGTTGACTGCATTTGGCGTTTAATAAGAAATTAAAAATATAATTATACATTCACTGATAAGGTGATCACATTAGCCTATATTTCAAACCAAAAGGTACTTAAGCTGCTTAACTATAATTTTAATTTAAATTACCCCCTAAAAGCTTCAGTGGACGTGTCAGACATGTAAGTCGGTTCAGTTGTTTGCAGTTTAGGGAGAATCCCCTTGGAGATAGATCGATCAACAGTTAGCAAGAGACAGTCTGGGAATGGTCCCTTAGTCCGAATGTTGACTTGATCATTTTAGCAATACAGGCTTCAGGGATATACTGACCTTGTTCCTTAATTTGCGTTGCTGTTGGTCGTGGATCGCCCTGGTTAAACAACCCTTCAGTAAATAGCCATATTAGCTTCTGTTTATTTTCTATGAAAAAGTCTTCAAACATGAGCTTCGCAGTCTGCAAAGCCTTCTTTGTATTCGTAGCTCCCACTTGCAAAGAGAAAAATATATCAGTGTGTGGGTGTGTGCGCGTTTATGTTCATGAGAGAGGTAGAGAAAGAGAGAGAGACAGAGAGTAAGTGTATGCGCATGTGTATGTGTATATGAGAGAGAGAGAGAAAGAGAAAGAGAGAAATAAATGATTTTGTAATAATGTATGTGTGTGTTCGCGTGCGTGTATGTGCGTGAGAGAGAGAGAGAGAGAGAGAGAGAGGGAGAGAGGAAAGAGCGCGAGAAAACAAAGGGACTTACTTCTCTTGTGAATCGCGTCGATGTGACCTTGAACGGTGGCCAAATCAGTATGTTCATTCAACTCGAACTCTCTCACCACATCAGTGGCAAACGTCAATGCACCAACCCGGGTTCTATCGGGGGTAATGGGACTATGCCTATCGATGAATTCAGCAATCATCTGAGAAATAAAGGCACAGCTGTCGTCAATACATACCACGCAATTGAGCTATGGTAATGGCATATTAAGAATACATGGAATCATATATATATATATAATATTTGATGCGACTTTATCACGTCAAGTGATATGTACATCACCCTATTAAACACTAGCGAACAAGCCTGCCTAAGAAGAACCATTCTAATTCCATTTCTTATTACCCAAAACATGGTTACAATTAAACCAAGCTGTGCACAGACACATAAAAAATGGGCCGATGCTCGCCCCATAAGTTTCCTTTATAACTTATAATGATAATCAAAACACGTTAAAAATAACCCATGGTAAGTTCACTGACGTGAGAACGGAAGATGACTACGTATATCAGCACCCAGCCAAAAAATATTATAATAATAATAAATAGATTAATTAATTTTAAAAAATACAGAGGACCTATTCACCTTTGTTGCATATTTCTGCATATTAAACTCGGTATCATCAATGCTCGAACTGCTGTCCAATGCGAAGACAATATCAAAATTGGGGTTCTTGCAGTTGGCTTGATAGGAAGTGCAGGGAGACACAATCTTCTGTAGCATACCCGATAGACTTGCCGCTGTTGATGTCCCTAGTTGTTAGTATAATAAATTTTGGCTATGCATGAGAATATTTCAATACAATTATTACAGATATCGTATTACATGTAAGCGAAGAGTTTACGACGAGTAAACAAGGTGAGTGACTTTCATCACGCTGCAATTAGGTTGTTTACCAAGTCACAAGAGACGTTTAACTTTTAAAAGAAGATATAATTTTATAAATATTCACCCTCAAGCCGTTTCCAGTTTTAGATTTAAAAAAATTGCAATTCCCTTTTCACGCAATATGTTCATTTTATTATCTTACACTTCAGAGTTTTATTTTATCATTATTTGATATATATTCACCTTCCAGTCCCCTTTTTAGTAGTTCGAGAGCCTACATGCAAAAAATATTTTACTCACTTAATTGTTATTATACAGTTACCAAGAAATCACAGTGTCAATTTTGTCATTGTTCTAGAAAAACAGAAGATCTGCTAATTGGTCAATGGCTACAACTAAGACCGCATTCACAACTAGATGAGCCAGGGCTCTACAAATCCAAGAACTAAATATGGCGGACGTACATGAAAGAAAAACGGCCTAATCTTTTAACAGTCTATCCGCCTCTCACACGCCTCCTCATGTGTCGTCCCAACGCAGAACCCCCGCAGGGACGACGCATGGGGAGGTGTGTGAGAGGCGGGGAGACTATTAAAAGATTAGGCGGTTTTTCTTTCATGTACGTTCGCCATATTTAGTCCTTGGATTTGTAGAGCCATGCCTCAACTCGTTGTAAATGCGGTCTAAGTAAATTATTAACATAGATACCGAATGTACGATGCCACACTTCAAAGCGATGGCGCAGATTCCCGATGGTCTCCCTGCCTCCACACGTGCCATTAAACGTATTAAATCTCGGCTCCAAGTAATAATTGCTAGGCCCTTACAGTAACGGCGCTTCTGGAGTAGGGGAGATCATCATGGAATCATCAGCATTGCTTTTGAAGTGGGGTTGGCCATATTTAGTTGGCAGATCAGTTTGTACCCAGATCATCTATTATACTGTAAATTACCCCTATGACAGTCAAGATACATATTAATGTGTCATATGTCATATTGTATCATATTGAACGTTCTCCTATTCATCGACAATTTATGGAATACAATTATCAGTAATTTACCTTTACCCTGGGGAATAGAGTTAACCACACACCACTCTGACAACAACAGCACAGCTAACAGAATAACTGCACAGAAGCGCTTCATGTCGGCTCCGGCGGCCAACAATTAGCGGTGGATCTGTATAACGTACAATGTATCTAGTATCTGCTCTTTTTTATATAATACTGTAACGTGACAAGGATGCACCCTGGTCCTTCCTGTAACTTGATGAAGTTTATTTCTAGTTAGCCCTGTTTAACCTGAATTTCAACGATTGCACTGCCACGATAAACAGTTGGGAATAGGAGCCGCCATTTTGTAACGTCATGCAGCCTTGACATACAGCATAGCCATTAAAAAAACTAGATACTTTAATAGCTTGCGCTGTCTACATCTTACGTGCAAGTACGCAAGCCCCCCATAGTGGTAATGATAGGAGGATTAAGATTGACAGCTTTGGTTGGTTATCGTAACCGCTGTTAAACCCGTAATTAAGCTATTAACTTGACTAGCAGTATTATGTATGGGATTGGGTACAGACACTATGTGCAGTAGGGGAGAGCGGGGTGGGTTGGAACGCGGGTAAGTTGGAACATTGGCTTTATTTTTTAAATCACAAGACCAATCATGTGCTCCTTCAGCATAAAAATGTCACGTGGCATGGTCATTCATCCGGTAAACTTGTGGAAGTTTCGAAAATGCAGTAAAAGTTTTATGCGAAAAAAACTTGTTTTCGCTACTCGAAGTAAGTTTTCATATTTTTGACATTCATCGTGCTGTAAACTAAAGTATAAGGATTATATCACTGAAATTGTGCAAAGCGTTTAGGACCACCTTGATATTCAAAAAGCTGTTGTTTTTTTTAATCACTTCCCACGTGTTAAAGAAATACAGTGTCATAAGTAGGCCATGACGTCATGGGGGCTGGTCGGAACATTTGACATGGGGCCAGTTGGAACACTGTCAGGGGTGTTCCAACCCACCCCGCACGCTGTTTTTCATTTTTTTAAACATCTCTTAATGTTTTAATTTCAACTTTGAAGAGAGTAGTAACGTAGTAACCCAGTACAACTCCAACTGGAGACGAAATCTAGCTGATAGAATATCTCCAAGATGCCGGAATGTACATGCGTGTAGAAGCTACAAGGGGGGATGGTCACTGCTTGTTAAATGCAGTTGCTAGCTGTTTGGTCGAAAATTGTCTGCATGCCCACTGTTGCTTTTTGCGATAAATTGCTTTTAGATGTGGAAGGAAATGTCGATTATTACTCTGCTTTTCGCGGCAAAATGAAAATATTCTAGCTGAGAGCCTATGTTATGGATAAACTATACAACACCAATTCTGCCGATATTGTTTTAGATGCTTTGTGTAATGGGTTGGGGGTTGCTGTTAATGTTTAGTGAACGAGGGCACAAAATCCGCCAGAAAAGACAAACATTCACCTCGTGACTTAGGCATAGATTCAGTTGAAATCTCAGTTGCCCTCACCGGAAGAGGTGCTACAGCACACTTAGGCTGTATTCCCAGAGCTTTTAGATCGACCTAGATTACTGTCACTAGATTACTGTCAGATAATCCGGCTTAAATGTCCGTCCCGCCTACTACAAGCTGTAAGGGGGTAATTAACTTTGGTGTCCGCTCGGCTGACAGCTATTTAGCGTGAACCCCCAGGGAGTTAGGTCGATCTAAAGTAGATCGATCTAATCTCTGGAAATGGGGTCTAAAGCGCACTTAAGAAACCCCCAAAACAGCTCAAGTCCAGCAATAATTAGACCAGTTCCAAAGGCTCACCGTCGCAGTCCAAAGATTAAAAGAAGAAAATAATGCAGTGCAGTAGGCCTACTAACTGACACATCTGAAAATGAGCTACTCGAAAAAGAAAAGGCCAAGCCCAACAAAATTAAAAAGGACAAGCCCAATAAAAATAAAAAACAGTTAAAGATTTCTTGTCGATAGAGAAAATCAAGAAAAAGGAAATTAAAGATGACCAACGATTCTGAGTCAGAAGAAGAGTGGCCATCTCTGGTTTGTGGGGAGCCGTTCATTAACAGCCGACCAAAAGAGAAATGGGTTAAATGCATTGTTTGTCTAAAGTGGTCACATGAAGACTGTACTAAGGTTGACCAAGTGTACATATGTCAGAACTGCGATTTTGATTCTGAGTTGTTGAGTTGAAAGAGATACAGTTTTCATTTGTAGGTCTAACATACTGTTGTTGATAGGTTGAGTTATGTGAGTTCAATTTCTTTTCTCTTAAACTACACCACTTTTGTTATCATTATGAAATGACGTGTAACTGGATATGGTTTATACATCGAAAAGACTATTTGAAAACAAATTGTAAACGTAAAAAATGCTTACAAATTATGGAGATACGAATACAAAGTAACACGTACTTGTTGGGAAATTAATATAGATAAACCTACTCTTAAAATGAATTGTACTTTGAATTTATATGCAAGCGTTCCAACTCGCCCTCTTGTTCCAACTCACCCCACTGCCTGTTCCAACTTACCCCGCGGGTGGGGTGAGATGGAACGTTTTAGGAGGCAACTTTGAGCATTTATTACTCTAAAATAAAAAGACCTACTTGGATGTTTTATTTCATAGATGAGTGCGGCATATAATTTTCCCCCTATCAGATTTTTTATTTTTCTCCCCAAAGCTTTGACTGCTGAGATATCGCAAAAAAGGTGAAAACTGTTCCAACCAACCCCGCTCTCCCCTATTGCTTAATGTGATTTAAGCTTAATGTGATTTAACCTGATCCTGAAAAGTGTGCAATTTGCAAACGTGTCTTCTTGGAAAGCATGAGCCAGCATTAACATGTTGCAATACCCGCTTGTCGGCTGTATTAGACTGTATTAATTATTGTTGTTTATGTTACATCATTGTTCTCAGCATATGGAAAGACCATGCGTACGTGCTACTTACAGTGTTTATCTGTTGTAGTTCTTTTTCCTGTATCAGTATGACAGTAAAAAGGTGCAGTGAAGGAATATATCCGATGTTATTATACTGAGTATATTCTATTTAATTAAATACTTCGCAGGCGCAGAATAAATAAATAAATATGTTTTCATCTACGAAGAACCAACAACATAGCTTTGTTGTCAGTGCCCACAGGTGGAGGACTTGGTTTCGACCCTTTCCAGAGACGTGCACGCTTTCATAGAACGAAAATTGGAATGTTGGACTAACAGATCCAGAAATCAAATATGGCGACCCAATAAAAAGCTTGATTCAGAATAATACACTGAATAGATTTCAACAAGCATTCAAGTGGGTCGACCACATTTGATCCGCGGCCACATTTGATCCCTATTCTGAATGAGGCCATTAAAGGAACCCTCTGTCTCCACATTTGGTGTTGGGTACTTACGAGTTGAATCAAGGGTAAAGTGATTTTTTGACAGTGGAAGTATATATTATTATAAGCTAGCTTTCAGCGCCACAGATGGCAACCAGGATGTATCCTCCTCGAGGAGGCGAAAACGTCTACATCCTATCAATACCAGGGCCAATTTTTTACAGGTATATTGACAAAGATGTCGCGTAAGCCAAAATGATAGGCATGTCAAACACAAGTATACAAGAAAAAAAGTCATTTATTTTGTCTTAAAAAAGTGATATTAAATTGCCCATGATGTAGAGAAAAAATTAATCTATATACTGGATATAACTTGAAACGATCGAGCAACACTACATTTCGACCTTATCACAGTGTCTTCCTCAGGTGAAATAACGCTTTCACCGGTCATTCTATTTTGCCTCAACTTATTAAGTTAAAACGCTTCTTGATGAATCAAGTCATTAACGTTGACCGTGGGTTATTCCATTGGATACGGCTCAATTTGACGTTATCCTTTCTTAAACTGCTTCCTTCAACACCACATTCGAACTTATTTGGATGAAATAAAACTCGGTGTTCAACAACACAAACTATTTTGTCATGATTTTAACGTTCAAGAAGGGATCGACGAGTCTTTTATGAATTGTATCATTGGGAACCAAAACGGTAGCTTCGAGAAGGAAGAGTTCCTGAAAGCAGCTCATGATTATTTTCACAACCGAAAGGATGATCTCTCGTGTTTCGAAGTCTGATATTGATAAGACATTTGACTTTCAAAGAAATGTGACATATAATTGAATAATAAATGAACATCGGTGCATGGTTCTTAAATAGTCCGATGATAACATACTCAATTTCGCTTTTTTTAAATGTTGCAGTCCAACAGCATTTTTTTTAATTACTCGCAATTTCTAAAGCAATTTCATGATTTTTAAAAAAATTTTCTTAGGTCGGAAGGAGGAAAGATTATTTAATTTTATGGCACTATTGAAAACATGTAAGGCCAATTTTAACGTATTTCAGCCAAATATTAAAATATTAAAAACAACGATTCTTATTTGATGAAGGATCTTATTTGTCTTTAATACACGACCTACTTTTAAAACATCATTTAAAAAGGGCGACTGGATACAACACATCTTGTAAACTGTAAGAAATCCACATTCTAAAGGAACCATTTGTTCAGCCTGACCAACAACTACAATGCAGAACCGATCTATCGGGAAAAATGCTTCTTTGAGGTTTGCTTTGTTTGTTTATAGAACTCATTAATGAATAAATTGGCATTTATCTTATGGCAATTGCAATGGTCAGAAGGTTAAACGTGTTCGATGCATTCTGGAAAGTGCAAATACACAGTAAGACCCAATCAGTTTTGGTACATATAATGCCATCCAATATCAGCACTATGTGGCGCGTTGTGCGTTACTCCTTAAATTACCAGTAAAATCGTGTATGAGATTGGGCATAGACGCAATGTAAATTATTTCTTATTCTGATGTACAATGTCCCTGAAAAGGATTCAGTCGTGTAATTTTACAGGCATAACCCACTATCAACGTGTCGCAATACCCGCTTATCGGCTGAATAACACTGTATTGACTACCGTCATTAATGTTACCTAATTGTCATCCGTCTATGAAGAGACCAAGCCTACGTGCCGCTTACATCGTTCACTGTGATCTAATGCTTTATTTTGTACCAGCATGATATTAGAAAGACGCCGTGAAGAAATATATCTAATGAATAATGACTATATGCTGTTAAATTAAAAAGTTACGGTTGTATAAATAGATAAATAAGTCGGTTGTCATCTAAGGTCATATGGCCTTGGGGTCAGTGTCAGCAATTCGAAATTGGCCATGGTGTATTCAATAAGATGCAATAGTTTGCGTTTTTAAAACCTCGCACTCAAACTTGCTTAACTTGATTGGATAAAATGTACCTTTGAACTCTCCATAAGGAACTGTCTATTTAATTAATCCGCTTATTCAAGACGGCACACAACACATAGAACGCTGATCTAAAAACGATTAACTCGTTCAGTGGATGATTAAAATGTTTCTTCCATGCGTGATTCGCTTGCTGTTGGTGGTTGTTAATGTAATGGGTTCTGGAGCTGAGAAGGGTCAGAAGGTAAGGCGTTCTGTTTGTTTTGTGCACAGCTCACAGATATAGATAAAGTCTAGTTTTTCATTTTTGACACAATAAGTCCCCTATCTAACTAACTGTTGTTGTGATGCATTCAAAATATGGCGAGACTTATAAAGTATACATATTTTGGAGAACGAGGTCAATGAGATTTATTCTGTTTTTTCAACTTATGAATGAGTCACAGCGACTGCAAAATAATACTTTCCAATTTTAAGCATTTATTTAGACTTAAGAGATGTGCATGTTCGTGAATGACCTATGAAATATAAGACTCTACTATAGACCATACGCTTCAAAATTCAACATAAAATAGCAAAATTATGTCCACTTTCAAAATGGCGGGTGGCGGCCATCTTGGATTTGAGCACAAAATTGCCATCAATCGCTTCCATAATATCAAAAATGGGTTCCCGGTCCCTAATTTAGTCAGGTTTGATAATCTATGCATGTTTCTAGACCAAAAATTTACAGAAATATGAAATATTATATATTTTGGCACCTAATATGCATAGTTTATGTTAATTTATGCATCGATAGAGCGTGTCTCTTTGGATAAAACATTTCCTTTTGGCCCAAGGAACATTTATGCCAAGTTAGACATTTTTACTATAAAATGCAGCGTTTGACCCCTTAACAAGCCTACTATACGGTATAGCACTGAATACACACATCAACGTATTTCACATTTTAATAACCCATCGAAATTCTAGCATATAAGCGAGTCTTGTTAATCTTTGTTTTGTAAGCGAACCTGTCAACCCTTGGTTGAGGGGCCGTTTACGTTTTGATCATCCTTTTGGTGATACACTGTTGTTTTTGTTTGAAGTATTTAAGCAAAAGGAGAAAAACAATCTTGGTAGAACCAACATTTTACATGGCCTCTTCCGTGATATGCAAGTGCTTTAACATGCACTGTATTCAAATAAACATTTTTTTTTGTCTAGAGACAATTGGATTTTTAAAGTAAAGTTGCCAATTTGTATTTTTGAAGGTGCTTAGTATTGTATTTTTCCATGAGATTTTTACAGAATCAAAAGTGTTTGCGTGAAGAGTACATGGCTTATTTTATGCTTCGGATTGGCGTTCATTTTATAACACAACCATAAAATTTAAGTCTCCAAGATGGGTACTGTGTAAAGGCTTTAAGTGGGCAAAAGCTACGGTTTTACATCGCGCGTGAGATACTATTATCAACTCTATAAATACTGTGTTTAAATATACTTTTTTATGTTTGTTAAATCTCACATCGATACATCACACCATCGTTGAACCTCGCTGGAAAAAAAAAAAACGTGTCAATCCCTCCCCGACTGTTCAGGGACGTTACACGCCCTAATCCATAATTTGCAAGCTCTTTTTCTCGACTATGAAGTCTATGTTATAGAAATCAAATCAAATAATATTCTGGAGTCTGTTATATTTGTTATATTTTGTTTTCCTTAATTCAAAAAGTATACTTTTCACGCATTTCTCACATGTTCAATTGATGTATAACCTGTTAAAGCTCCTTGTTCAAGAGCCGTGGCATATTAGGTCTGCTAAGATTCGGGATTTGAGCTGTTGGCCATCTATGTGACATTAGCTTGGACGCATCCTTTGTCCGATGACCTAATATTAAGAGTTTGCATATAACATTTGAAAGAAATCGTATTTGAAGACTCAGAGCGATTGAAAAGTTTTGCTACATGTACTTGTGGAAAGATATACTCGTTGCCTTGGAATGTTTCACTCGTTCTGTTCACAGAGAACAAAAAAACATATTAACCTTAGATTTTAAGTATTACCAGAGAGAAAATTTTGTCTCATTTATAAACTTCAGGACAAACCGTATATAGGGGACGAGTGGCGCGCTAAGATAGTCCGTTTCTTCTCTATTCTGGATGCTGACAAGGACGGAATCGTAAACCGCCACGACTATGTTGACAAGACTTTAGAAAGAGCTAGAATATATTTTGTTGCGGACAAGATAAATGACTTCAATGATACCGTTTCCGAAGCGTGGGGTAATTTTTGGTCTTTCTCTGAAAATGAATACAAAGGCAGTTTTGAGAGAAAAGATGCTATTTGGATTCACAAACGTCTATTCAAAGGAAACCTAAGAGAACCAAGCAGTGATTGGGAAGAGGGCATCTTTCGAGCAGCAGATGGTGACGACAACGAAGAGCTCAACGTCTACGAGCACAAAACATTCTGTTTGGTATTTAACGTTCAAGAAGGCATCGACAAGTCATTTAAGTATATCGATCAGAATCAAAATGGCATTATCGATAAGGAAGAATTCCTGAAAGCAGCTCATGATTATTTTTACAACCGAAAAGAAGGTTCCTGGTTTTTCGGATTCTGATATTGATAATAAATTCGACTTTCACAGAAATGTGGTATATAATTGGTTAATAAACGGATATTGGTGCATGGTTCTTAAATAGTCCGTGGACAAGAGACTCATTTTATCAATTTGCTTTTTTAAATCTTTCTGTCCAACGTCACTTTGTTCATACCTATGAACCCCAACGTCAATAGTTCACATTTAATTACTTGTTTCTGAAACGATTTTTAACATTTTCATTTTCCTCAGAGGTCGGATGAAAAAGCATTCTTTAAATTTTTTGTCAGTATTGAAAACATTGTAGACCAATTTTAATCTAATTCAACCAACTATTAAAGCATTAAAACAGTGATTCAAATTCAATGCAGTGTTTTATTTGTCGTAAATACACGACAAACTCCGTGAAAATAAATGAAAATTAAAAAAGGACACGTTTCTGACAAAACACAGTATAGAAAACTGTATATTAAATGTTGTGATATGTAGAGATTTCTTTCATGCAACTTTCACTTAAGCAATAATTGCGAGAGAATCACAATTGCATTATTTTCACCTTGAGCAACTCACATTTCCTTATAGAAACAATAAAAATAACACTGATAATAATCTCACAGTTAAAACATTGATAGGTTTACATTAACAGGTCTATTTTCTAAGTCAAAAAGCAGTTAATACATTGTCAGGCCAATGGTTATAAACATATTCACAAAGTAACACGTGACTTTAGATGTTATAAAGGTACAGGGGTATATACCATTCTTGCGAAGGTGCAAAGGTGAAAAAAATCTACCGTAAAGAAAAAGCCAGCAAAGAAGTTTCCAAGTAAATTCTCAATAATGGAATCTCCTAAACAGTAATTTCCCAATCTTTGAGAAGAACATTATAAACAGATGAATGGTAGATAATAATTCATTGGGAGCTAATGAAGCATGGCACAGTCTGTGAAGTGCAAGAAATAACAGTGATGACATATGAAAGTGAAAAAGTTCAATCAGAACTCGACAGAGAATGTTTATGATATACGATGCATCGTTTCACTGTCATTTCCCCAAAGACAAATAACTTAAAATAAATTGAAAATACACCACCAAATGTCACTAAATTTACACACATTTAGCATAAGGATGTGCTCGTTTATGGTACTGTTATATCATGCCTTGAACAAAGGTATTAGTTCTGAATTGAAATGGGCAATCCAGAGAAGAACCTAACTCCAAATAGTCCAGACCAATTCCACCAAGATTGCCAGGAATCATGGGACAATATTCCACAAAACAGATTTGAATGGTACAACCTTTTTGACCAATGTGTTATGCATGGAAATGTAAACAGACACCATGATTCTTATCCTAATAATATGTCACTGGGAAGTTTTCAAATGTGTATTTTAACAAGAGTTAACCAGCATGAAGATGTTACAATACCCGCTTGTCAGTTGTATAACATGATGCTGACTGGTGGTATTGATGATAGTACATTGCTATCAGTCTCTGGGAAGACCGCCTGCACATTTTGTGTATTTTTGTGAAATTTGATGTTAATAAAATGATACTATGGGGCACACCATTCCACAGTCATTTATCTCTTCAAAAGTATTGGTTCAGTAGGAGTGACAATATATATATATATATATATATATATATATATATATATATATATATATATATATACACAGACTTGGTGTAGACGTTTGGGAGGATAATTGCCAACTGCCAGATAAGTTAGCACAGGAACAAAATCTTTCACGTCCTTGATTCAACCTCCTAAGTGCCAAGTTGATAGTGGGTTATGCTTGTTAAATTACACGATTAAATACTTTTCAGGGACATGTTTAATAAGAATAAGAACCCAATCCCACACATTATATTGCTAGTCAGTTAATCATAATAAGTAGGAACGCGTCACATTTTATTACATGGGTTTAGGTTTAATGGGTTTATTTTATTGATATCTCCCTCCCTCTCTCTCTCTCTCTCTCTCTCTCTCTCTCTCTCGGAAACAAAATATATAAAGTGATACTATCATTTCACAGCTTACTTTTATTCATATTCGGTCTTCTGAAAAAAATTAAACTATCGATAAGTTATGCACGTGCACAAAGCGTTGACTACGGTACTCTCAACTGAATAACATGGGAAAATCGCTTTTTCCTACTGAATTCACTAAGGTCTCATAAACATTTCTGTAAAAATGCGAGCGATGACGTAAATGTATATGAGTCCCATAGTATTTATCTTAATCGCGTATTTTTTAAATCATCTAGTCAAGTAGGTAGGTATATGCAAAGCATGTCGAAGTAGGATGGTGACAATATCCAAAACAGGAATAACCCGTCTTCGGTTCCGCGTAACACGAGCAGTCTGCGTGAACTGTACATGGGGTTCTTCGTTCATAAATATTAACTGAATGAGACGGCGCCCCTAAAACTAGAAAAAAATGTAATTAACCACATATACAATGGATTCATCCAAAATCTCGTTTTTTAATATTTTATACATTGTATTTATTTATTTATTTATTCAATTATTTAAACCAAATGTACATAAATCATTTATTATTCTCTTAGACTAATATCGACTTAGCATTAATTTTCTAAAAATTTCCACGTCAATTTTTTAAAATGCAAATACATATAGTCTATTCACTACACATAATC